GCAGCCCAGCCCCTCCGGTCCTGAGAGCTGCTGGCAGCCGTGTCCACAGAGTTATGGGCAAGGCTGGCCTCGGGGCAAGGTCGTGACGGGCCACGGGGGTCGTCAGCCGGCTTTGTACATCCTGCAGAGGGTCCCTGGGGAAGAGAGCCCACGGGAGCTGAAGAGATGCTGGGAAAGATTGAGAGCAGCAGGAGAAGGGGACGACAGAGGATGAGATTGTTGGATGGCATCACCGACTCACTGGACATGAGTTTGGGTGGATTCCAGGAGTTGGTGATAGACAGGGAGGCCTGGTGTGCTGCAGTTCATGGGGTTACAAAGAGTCGGACACGACTGAGCGACTGAACTGAACTCAACTACTTTATCATACTGAATTATTTCTGTTCTTGATTTATAGTATTTTGAATTTTGTTCAAAGTAATTTCAGTCATTATGCAAAGTGGAATTTTCAAAGGCGTGATTAATTTAGGAAGAATTTAGGAACATAAGGAAGATGATGAGACAGGTTCTGCACACACGTTCGCAAGCACAGAGCTGGTTGTCCGGCCTGCTTGCTGCAGTCCCTGTGTGCTGGCTGCAGTTCTGGGCCTGTAGTTACGTCCCCAGTGTGCTGGGCACAGGGCTCTGCCTCAGCCCACCTCACCACCACTCCACACCCGCGGGCAGCCTTTCAGGCGCCTGTGTTCAGAGGCTGCGCCCTGGCTTGGGGGACAGAGGTTCTGCGTCCGTGGGCTGTGAGGAGGGGGGAGGCTTGCACATCAAGATGCATGTTCTCCAGCGTTAATTCACGAGTACTCTTGCACCCCTGCTCCGTGCAGCACTGGCTCGCTGGGGGTGGGGTGGGGTGGGGAGGTGGGAAGGATAAGCAAACCCGGGAGTCCGTGCTCTCTGGAAGCTTCCTGTCCATCAGGAAATGCAGGGCATGAGGTCAGAGCAGAGAGAGACCTGTATGAGGTGGTTCTCCTCTCTTCCCCTCAGCGGGACCCTGGGCGGTGCCCCACCATCCGGGGTCAGCCCCCTGCTCCCTGACGGGCTGGAGCTCGGAGGGCTCAGGCCTGGACTCAGGACAAGGGTGACGGGGGGGCAAGTTGGCCTTTGGGACAGCACGGAGGGGAAACATCTTTTTTTCTGAATTTGGCGAAATTGAGTGGTGCCGGAATTTTCCAGTAATAGTGGCTTTTTAATAAACACACTGACGCAGGGAGAAGGGCACCTGCGTTTAAACTGGGTCTTTGTTAATATTTAATGTGTGTCCTTGGAGATGCTGCTGCATGATGGGAAAAGTAGAAAGAAAATATCTCTTTGGCTTCTGTGAAAAAATACCACCCACGCCACAGAGGCAGGCTTGAAGTGTGATGTGTGAATGACAGTTTGGAGATGTTTTTCAAATTCTGAGGAGTATACACATTTTTTCCTCTCATTTTGGCTAGTGAATATTCATAACTCTTGATGTGCGTAAACAGATACCACCCTCTGCTTCCAGAGCCCGAGGGCTTCAAGTTCATCAGAGCAGAGACACTGCGGTCAGCCGCTCCCCCGGACGCTGTCTGGGTATACCGGGATGGGACTGGCCAGGGCTGGGGGCCTGGGTGGCCGTGGGCCGTGACTCGTGGGTCAGCTGTTCTGTGGGTCATTTTGGAATAGCCAGTGTATTCTTTCTTTAACAAACGCACAGTGTATTACAAAAACGATTTGTAAGTCTGAGTTGTTTTTCTCCGCTGTCACAGCTTTGACAGCCAATCAGGTCGGGTGCCGCTGGAGCTCCCCGGCACAGCTGGAGGAGGTGTCGGAGGGGGGTTGTTGCTGTGGGTCACGGACAGGGGTCCAGGGCCGTGAAATCGCCGAGCTGTGCTGTGTGGTCACGGCAGCCGACCTAGCGGAGGCGCTGGTGCAGAGCTTCTCAGCAGGGACGCAGGGAGAGTCCGCGGTCGGCGGGGGGGGGCTGGCTTCTGCGCCGGGGAGCAGCAGCAGGACACGGGGGTGCCCCCGGGAGAGCCAGTGCTGGCGGAGTCTGTGGAGAAGCGGGGAGGGGGTGTGAAGGGGAGGAGAAGGCCCAGACCGCTCCTCCTCCAAGCGCAGCGCTGACGCGACATCGCACTTGCAGTTTCTCACTCTCCTGATAAGCTCAACTGCATGAACGTTTAACCTTACCGGAAGAGATTTCTTTTCTTAGCCAGAAACTGAACTGTTTCAGAACAGTATGGCACTGTCTTCCTAGATTTCTCTTTGAAAATCAGGCTTTCTCTCCAAGCATGAGGAAATCCTGGAAGGGGTAGATGTTTCCAAAAAGCACGGTCACAGTCCATCCTCCCCTTGTCTGGACTTGCCTTCTCCCTGGGAACTCAGGCATCAAACATGCCGCCTTCTCTGGGTGTAGGTTTTACTGCTGATCTTTAAAAGCTGACGTGTGACCTCACAGAGCAGCGCGTACTCTGCCGTTTCTAGTTCTGACCGTGACCTTGACCATGCGATTAAATACTGAGAACCCTGAGCAGATGCCGTGACCGTAGAACCGTGAGGCAGGTTCCAGCTGCGGACAGCGGAGCGGGAGGGACTTGCGGGGAGCGTGAACGCCTCACGAGTGGAACGCGGAGAAGATAAACCTCAGAGTTGATCGGGAGACTTCTCCATCCATTATCCAAGCACGCATGCACACGATTTGTATGACGGACTCTAATTAGCATGACTTTTATAACAATAAGCCAAAACGTGGATTTTCTTGTCGTACTTTGTTGGTGTGTTGGCATCTGTCGTCTGCATTGATGCCAACATTTTCACTGTTTCTGCTCGGGTAGTTTTAACTGCTTCCTTGGCAGATGACCTCATCAAGCAGCAGTGTTTGCGTAGGACCTGTGGGTTTACTGGAATCATATTCTTTACCCCATGTGCTTCTCCCAGGATTTCCGTTTCTAGTGCAGTTGGCATCTGAAGCCCATCATGTGGACGGGACTCCCAGAGCTTAGGTGTCTGCTTGTCCCATGGAGCTGAAGCATGGACATGCTGGAATTCAGAACTCACCCCTTTTCCTCGGAGAGCCGGCTGTCTACACCCGGTGCCCAGGTGTTTGCTGGAGCCCTTTTTCAAACTAGGAACAACCCCTGTGTTGAGTGTTTTCTAGCATGAGAGGTTTTGGGTTTTGCCAAGTGCTTTTCCTTCACCCATTGAGATGATTGTGTGATTTTTAAAAATTCTGTTACTATGATATATGACATTAAGTGCCAAGTGTCAACCAACCTTGAATTCCTGGGGTAAATCCCATTGATTATGGTATATAATTCTTAATAGATGTTCCTAGATTGAGTTTACTAGTATTTCATGGAGACTTTTTTCATCTGTATTCAAAACAGATATTGGTCTGTAGTTTTCTTGTGATGACTTGTGGTTTTGGTATCAAGGTAACTAAGTTGGAAAACGTTCTGTTCTATTTGGGGGAGAGTGTGAATAATTGTTATTAATTCTTCTCTGAATGTTTTGTAGACCTCAGTGGTGAAGCCATCTGGGCCTCAGCTTTTCTATTTGGTTAGTTTGAGGTTAAAAATTGAGTCTCTACACTTGTATTATTATCTTTTCAGATTTCTTCCTAAATCAGCTTAAGTAGTTGTGTCTTTCAAGGATTTGCCCATTTCATCTAATTTATCTCATTTAGTGACAAATATTTGTTCATATAATTTCTTTATAATCCATTTACTGATGGTAATTGTTCCACTTTCACTTTGTATTTTAGTATTCTGAGTCTTCTTTCTTTTTTCCTTGGTCCATATAGCTAAAAGTTCATCAGTTTTGCTGTTCTTCTTAGAGAACCAGATTTCGGTCGCACTGGTTTTCTCTGCTCTGCTTCATTAATTCCAGCGCCAGTCTTCATTAGTGTCTTCCTCCTGCTTTCACTGTGTTTAGTTTGCCCTTTTTCTGTATGTATCAGTTCAGCTCAGTTCAGTCGCTCAGTCGTGTCCGACTCTCTGCAACCCCATGAACCGCAGCACACCAGGCCTCCCTGTCCATCACCAACTCCCAGAGTTTACTCAAACTCACGTCCATTGAGTCAGTGGTGCCATCCAGCCATCTCATCCTCTGTCGTCCCCTTCTCCTCCTGCCCCCAATCCCTCCCAACATCAGGGTCTTTTCCAATGAGTCAACTCTTTGCATGAGGTATACACATGTATATTTAAAATTACTAAAGAAATGTAAATACTTAATTAGAAGATATTCCCTAATGTAAAAAAAGCAGGAACAGAGGAACAAAAACGACATGAGACACACAGAAAATGAAAAGCAAAGTGACAGACAGGTCTACTATACCAATAATAAAATTATATTTGAATGATTAAATAACCCAATTAAAAGGTAAATTTTTCAGACTAAATAGAAAAAACAAGATCTGTCTTCAAGAGACACATTTCAGAGACAAATAGATAAAGAAAAGATGAGAAAGATATCATAAACAGTAAACACAAGAAAGAGGGAGTGATTATAGTGGTGCCATATGAAATAGAATTTTAAACTAAAATTGTTATTAGAAATAAAGAGGGGTATTTTTTAAAGATAAATGTTTAAATCATCAGGAAGATATAACAATTGTAACTATATGTGCACCTAAACAGAACAGCAAAATACATGAAGCTAGAACCAACATACTGAAGGAGAAATAGACAATTCAACAATAACAGTCGGATGCATCAGTACCCCAGTTTTAACAGTGGGTGGAAAGGCCAGGTAGAACCTCAAAAGCAAACTGGGCTCCAACAGAACTATAAGCCAAATCGACCCAGTGACGTTTGGAGAGCCTCCATCGTCAGGAGGAAATGGGGAGTCTAGGGTTTTGAACTTAATTTCAGTATATCTGCCTAGGATGCTGAGCCCACAGCTGAGCTGTGCCTCTCGTGGTGGCAGCCTGGCGTTGTTGAGCAGGGCTGATGGGGGCTGGTGGCAGCACCACCCCCTCCCAAGCCTGAGGCGCTGGGCCCCAGGGCTTCCTCCCAGTGTCTCTTCTCTTCCCCGTTCAGGTCCGGCGCGATCCAAGTGCAGGCCCTGGATGGGGTGAGCTCGGGGCCCCTCCAGTTTCACACGGCCCAGGAGCGTGCCGACTGGCTGAGGGCAGTGTCGGCCAACATCAGCGATCTGATGCTGCAAAACGTGAGTGTGGAGATGGTCCCCTGTCCCTGTGTTTGCTTTTCGGTCCATGGAAATAGTCACGACTCTTTGTTATTTAAGATTAACCCTAAGACAGTTGGTCATAACGTTAAACAGAAGAACGTACTTTTAAAGAAAGCTTTTATTTGGAGGATAATTGCTTTACAGTATTGTGATGGTTTTTGCCGTACATCAACATGAATCAGCCACAAACGTCCATGTGTCTCCTCCCTCTTGAACTTCCCTCCCACCTCTCACCCCACCCCACCCCCTAGGTTGTCACAGAGCATTAATCACAGTAGCTAGGACGTGGAAGCAACCTAGATGGCCATCAAGAAATGAATGGATAAAAAAGTTGTGGTGCTTACACACAATGGAATATTACTCAGCTGTAAAAAAGAACACATTTGAGTTAGTCCGAGTGACATGGTTGACCTCGAGCCTGTGGTACAGAGGGAAGTAAATCAGAAAGAGAAACACACTGTACTCTCTTCTCAACAAATCTAATCTCTAACTTAAAAAGTTAAAGGTTAAGTCACCTGAAAGTTTCCCGGCCTGAGAGGAGAGGCTGAGTCAAGCCCCCAGACTCTTCACCCTGGCCTTGGCTCTTGTTCTCCCTTTCCACGCACCTACACGGCGGTCTCTGTGAGCACACACTTTTGCATGTTCTCTGTCCAAATGCACTGATAAAATGTGAGCACACACTTTTACATGTTCTCTGTCCAAATGCACTGATAAAATGTGAGCACACACTTTTACATGTTCTCTGTCCAAATGCACTGATAAAATGTGAGCACACACTTTTACATGTTCTCTGTCCAAATGCACTGATAAAATGTGAGCACACACTTTTGCATGTTCTCTGTCCAAATGCACTGATAAAATGTGAGCACACACTTTTACATGTTCTCTGTCCAAATGCACTGATAAAATGTGAGCACACACTTTTACATGTTCTCTACCCAAATGCACTGATAAAATGTGAGCACACACTTTTGCATGTTCTCTACCCAAATGCACTGATAAAATGTGAGCACACACTTTTACATGTTCTCTGTCCAAATGCACTGATAAAATGTGAACACACACTTTTGCATGTTCTCTACCCAAATGCACTGATAAAATGTGAGCACACACTTTTGCATGTTCTCTGTCCAAATGCACTGATAAAATGTGAGCACACACTTTTGCATGTTCTCTGTCCAAATGCACTGATAAAATGTGAGCACACACTTTTGCATGTTCTCTGTCCAAATGCACTGATAAAATGTGAGCACACACTTTTACATGTTCTCTGTCCAAATGCACTGATAAAATGTGAGCACACACTTTTGCATGTTCTCTGTCCAAATGCACTGATAAAATGTGAGCACACACTTTTACATGTTCTCTACCCAAATGCACTGATAAAATGTGAGCACACACTTTTACATGTTCTCTGTCCAAATGCACTGATAAAATGTGAGCACACACTTTTGCATGTTCTCTGTCCAAATGCACTGATAAAATATGAGCACACACTTTTACATGTTCTCTGTCCAAATGCACTGATAAAATGTGAGCACACACTTTTACATGTTCTCTGTCCAAATGCACTGATAAAATGTGAGCACACACTTTTACATGTTCTCTACCCAAATGCACTGATAAAATGTGAGCACACACTTTTGCATGTTCTCTGTCCAAATGCAGTGATAAAATGTGAGCACACACTTTTGCATGTTCTCTGTCCAAATGCACTGATAAAATGTGAGCACACACTTTTGCATGTTCTCTGTCCGAATGCACTGATAAAATGTGAGCACACACTTTTGCATGTTCTCTGTCCAAATGCACTGATAAAATGTGAGCACACACTTTTGCATGTTCTCTGTCCAAATGCACTGATAAAATGTGAGCACACACTTTTGCATGTTCTCTGTCCAAATGCACTGATAAAATGTGAGCACACACTTTTGCATGTTCTCTGTCCAAATGCACTGATAAAATGTGAGCACACACTTTTGCATGTTCTCTGTCCAAATGCACTGATAAAATGTGAGCACACACTTTTGCATGTTCTCTGTCCAAATGCACTGATAAAATGTGAGCACACAGTTTTGCATGTTCTCTGTCCAAATGCACTGATAAAATGTGAGCACACACTTTTGCATGTTCTCTGTCCAAATGCACTGATAAAATGTGAGCACACACTTTTGCATGTTCTCTGTCCAAATGCACTGATAAAATGTGAGCACACACTTTTGCATGTTCTCTGTCCAAATGCACTGATAAAATGTGAGCACACACTTTTGCATGTTCTCTGCCCAAATGCACTGATAAAATGTGAGCACACACTTTTGCATGTTCTCTGCCCAAATGCACTGATAAAATGTGAGCACACACTTTTGCATGTTCTCTACCCAAATGCACTGATAAAATGTGAGCACACACTTTTACATGTTCTCTACCCAAATGCACTGATAAAATGTGAGCACACTTACATGTTCTCTACCCAAATGCACTGATAAAATGTGAGCACACACTTTTACATGTTCTCTGTCCAAATGCACTGATAAAATGTGAGCACACACTTTTGCATGTTCTCTACCCAAATGCACTGATAAAATGTGAGCACACACTTTTGTATGTTCTCTGTCCAAATGCACTGATAAAATGTGAGCACACACTTTTACATGTTCTCTGTCCAAATGCACTGATGTAATGTGACATGTATTTGGGGAACCCAGCTCGGTTAGAGATGTAACTCTCCAAAACATGGAGGAAGCTTAGAAAGAGACACGGCCACCAGATATTCTCAGCAGCTCACAGCAGGTCCCCAGGAGAGAACAGGTGCTCTGTCTCCTTGAATGGTCTGTGTAATGATCAAGGTTAATATTGAAATAAATAAATGTGTACTAAAAGCACATGGGGTGGGAGCAGCACGTGAATCAAGTCCGAAGTCCCCTGGAGCACCCCATATCCGGGCAGTAACAGCGTGGCCACGGCCGCAGGGGCTCACGGAAGACCAGCCCTTGGCCGAAGGTGGCCGTGGGCCGGTCTCGTGGTCCTCAGTCCCCACCGGGTGACTTGTCCGACTGCCCACACTTGCACCCTCTGGTCCAGGCCAGCTAGGGGCAGGCGGGGCCTAGATGTTCGGACACCCGCGGTGTGAGGGGAGGGCCCCATGGCCTCCCCTGCGGCTGTTTCTCTCACTCCTGACTTGTTTCCGGAAGTTGCCCCACGGTGGGTGTTTGCCAGAGCACTTTGAAATGCGGGAAGCAGAAACGCATGGGATTTCCCTTCCAAAGACCTCAGGGCTCTCTGCCACACAGGAGGTGCCACGTGTGTGCTGAGTCCCTTCAGTCATGTCTTACTCTGCGATGCTATGGGCCATAGCCCGCCAGGCTCCCCTGTCCGTGGGATTCTCCAGGCAAGGATACTGGAGTGGGTTGCCATTCCCTCTTTCAGGGGATCTTCCTGACCCAGGGATCAAAGCTGCATCTCTTAAGTTTCCTGCATTGGCAGGTGGATTCCTAACCACTAGTGCCACCTGGGAAGCCCACCAGACCCTCTCTAAGACCTCAGTTTTCCAACTCGACATTTGATTTCAAGGGTATCAGGGTGGATAAAAGGCAAAGAGAAAGCCGAGTGGTGGCAGCTTGGTATTTGCAGAAGCACCTGGCTGCATATGAATCTCGCACACTGGGGGTGCTGGGCAGGGCAGAGGGAAGGAAACCTGAACACCCGAGAGCCAGAACTGTGGATGCAGAGCGCCATTCCTGCAGCAATCTTGGCCGTTCTATTATTCTGGACCTTCATGTCCTCGCTGGTTGGATTTTGCAGGATTGCTGGCAGAAGTGGGGAAGGAGGAAGTATGAAATGTGAAACTATAGTCACCTGAGATGGTGTGTGTAGGAGTCTTTTCCCCAGTTTTTCAGATGTTGAAATGCAAGCTTCTGCAGCCTCATAGCTTCTCTTACATGAAGTGCCCATAATTGAGAACAGTGGTGTCGGCGTGTTCCATCATGAGAATCGCTACCACACGTTCTTCTGTGCTCTGGTTTGGTTTTCAGGAAAGAAAAGCATTATAAAAGAAACTTACTTCTGGGGACACTTCATGCAGCTAATTAATTTCAGTTGCTAATTAGACAGGTTGAATAATTATGCCATTAATAAAATTATACTGACTCCTTGCTTCCCTCTCTCTACAGGTGAAAATGGCAAATAAATGCTGTTCTCCTTGTGACCAGGTAGGATTTGTGGTTTTCACGTTGATCATACAATGTCTCCAAAGGTTGCCTCTTTCTGTTTCTGAAATCTGATTTGGAAATTTTGACAGAAAAGCGTTAGCACACGTGTGATGAAGTCGCGGTCCTCACCTTCAGGGTTAACTCTGTACAACTGCTTGTTTATCCTGGAGATTATGTAGCAGGAATCGTCCTACCTGAGGGTGGTCAGGTTACCCATGATCTAGGGGCACTTACATTTTATGAAGGAATCGTGATCCAGTGATAACCCAGATGTGATTGTGGAGGCTTCCAGAGGTTTGATGACTGAGACCAACCTGTATAATTCGGAATCGTCAGCATCGTGTAATTTTCTTGGCTAACCTCTTCATTGGCACGTTTCGCTCTGGGAGGCCTTTGTCGGGGAGGTGCTGCTGCAGGTGGGGTGGGAGGAGAGCGTTGTCCTGCCGCGGCATGCAGGCCTCTGTTCACCTGGAGGAACCTGGTCCAGGGTGGCTGCAGCCCCGCCTCCTCAGGAGCCCTCAGCCCGTTCCTTCCAAGAGCAAAGTGAAGTGAAGTGCAAGTCGCTCAGTCGTGTCCGACTCTTTGCAACCCCTTGGACTGTACAGTCCATGGAATTCTCCAGGCCAAAATACTGAAGTGGAAAAGCCTTTCCCTTCCCCAGGGGATCTTCCCAACCCAGGGATCGAACCCAGGTTTCCCGCATTGCGGGCAGACTACCAGCTGAGCCACAGGGGAAGCCCAAGAATCCTGGAGTGGGTAGACTGTCCCTCCGCCAGCAGGTTTTTCCCTACCCAGGAATCGAACGGGGGTCTCCTGCATTGCAGGCAGATTCTTTACCAGCTGAGCCACAGGGGAAGCCCTCCAAGGGGAAAGTCCAGCTTATAATATACCCGGTTTTCTGAGTAAAGGACAGCTCACTTACTAGGCCTGTAAGTACTTAGCTGTATATCAGATAAATAGACTTCGAAGTCACTGCATTCTTTTTCTCTTTCCTTTTTGATAAAGTCATAGTTTACGCTGTAAGTGGGAACTTTTTAAATGGATGGTGCAGGAGCTTTCAATAGATCTCTTGGGTTTGAGGAAGTCTTCATTGTAGCCTCAAGTCAAGAAAACAAAAGGAATGTGTTCAGTTTGCTTTAAATAGTGCTTAGAAATACTCTTTAAAAAGTGCTGAGTGATAAAATTTGGATGCAGAATGAAAGGCATTCAGGAGAGTAAATACCTGCCAATCAAATATGTACTGAAAAATAAGAAATTTGGACCATATTTTTAAATTAAACCCCTCTAGTAAACATTTTTAAATTAGGAAAGAGACACCAAGAAAAGCTTTCTTTTGTTTCTTGTAATGTTGTTTCTAAATTTATGAAGAACTAGTTTTGTTTATGGGCTTCCCAGGAGGCTCAGTGGTAAGGAACCCTCCTGCCAATGCAGGAGACGTGGGTTCAGTCCCTGGGTCAGGAAGATCCCCTGGAGGAGGAAATGGCAACTCACTCCAGTATTCTTGCCTGGAGAATCCCGTGGACAGAGGAGCCTGGCAGGCTACGCAGTCCATGGGATCACAAAGAGTCGGGCATGACTTAGTGACTAGACAGCAACAAAAGCTTTGTTTACGGAGCTAAATGAGAGTGGTCAGCTGTTTAATGAGCAATAGTCCCATAAATCTCTAAGGTAATACAGGACTCATTTCATATTGTCACACATAGAATGGAGATTTCCTGCTGTACGCTGTATTTCCAAGACGTTTCTTTTGGACTTTTCCCCCAGGACGCACCTCCCCACAGTTCACACTTAAAAGTCTGTCTTCTTGAGGCTGCAGCCGGCGTCTGGATCCCAACCCTGAGTTAAATCTCGGAGCCAGACTTTTGGGTGAAGTAGGAAAGAACAGCTTTATTGCTTTGCGCAGCAAATGGGCCACAGCGGGCTAGTGCTCTCAGAACGGTGTGACCCCCGGGGGTGGGGGGCGGGCCGCGGGGCGGCTTCTCGCCCCGGCGGGAGCGCAGATCCGCGTCCCAGCGCGTGCGGGGCCGCGTTCCTTCCGTCCAGAGACCAGCTGGCATCAGGTGGTCTTGTGCTGGGCCTCAGTGGTTCCTATCGAATGGTGACCTTCCCTCTCTTCATCTGGTGGGGTTTCCATGCTGCAGAAGAGTTCATGTACTGTTCCATGTCCCCTAAGGGCGAGGCAGGACCCTGCCCCAAGGATGCACTGCAGTTTCTGCACTGCCCCCCCTAGTCTCCGCATCCCGACCCGTCCCTGATTAACAGTTGCTGAGATCTGCCTTTTGGAACCCAGGGAAGGTCCCCGAGACTGAATGAAGCCTATTCCCCACAAGCAAGAAACGGGGGACACGGAAGGGCTTTTGTGTCCAGGAACCCCGTGGGGCCCACGTGGTTTTAGGACCGCAGAGAGCGGGCCCTCCAAGAGCCCCTCCCTTCAGCTGCTCCGCGTCCTGTCACAGGGACGTCAGCCTCTCCAGGACTTTCCAGACACATAACACGTGGCCGGTGGTCTGGAAACACGCACACGTGAGTGCCCATTACGCTGAGAATACGGCGCTTCCGCAGGACTTGAACCTGACGTATTTGGAGGTCACTGCGTTCTCGTGACTGTACTTGATTGCCCGGCAGATTGAAAAGAGCACCCATCTGGAAATCAAAACATGTTTTGTTTTACTTAGAAATTAACTCTTCTTTCTCCGTGAATCACAGAGAGAACCGTGAACTAGTTCAAGGGAAGTCAAAACCGTCTGAGGAGCGGAACCCCCAGCACGAGGACATGAATGAGTCAGATTCCAAAGGCCCCCTGAGCAGTGGAGAGATTCTGCAGTGGTTTTATCTTAGTGAAATATTATCACGTATTAAGCCACGTGTGCGTGATATCAGTCTTGGTGGCCTTATGTGCATAAAACCTGGATTCTGATCCCATTGACCCCTCCTCCGGTGGGGTAGTTGGAGCAAATTAACATCTGAGCCCTGGTTTCTTAATCTACGAAACAAGACAGTGGTAATGGGCAATCTAACTTTTTTTTTAACTTTAATATTTCATATAACTTTGAGTTTGCTCAAGGGGTGGATTCGATTATCTAGAAAGAAATGCTAGAGATGAGCCTCGCTGTGCGGGGCTAAGGGAGCTCAGTTTCTAGTAGAGGACTGTTTCACATTTCTCCAAAAGCTAAACATTTTGTATGCATGGTAAAAGTTTAGATTTATGATGTTGGACCCTATTTTAAAAAGGAAAGATTTTTTTCCTCATTTTTAGCAATTAATTATTGATTTTGGAAGGTAGTAAAAATAACATTTGAATAGCATGGAGAAATAAAGGCATTTGACAACCACTGAAACTGACACACGAAAACCAAAGAAGACAGACCTGGAAGGATAGTAAGAAAGGCATAGAATATAGATTTTTAGACTTTTATGTTTAGCTAATAAAAGGACTAATTTGTCATCAGACCTAAAAGTAATAGTAAGATGACAGCAATAAATTTAGAATTGTCCCAGGAAATCCAGGACATATGGTCACCCTGCCAAAATAGCAAGGATATATTTTACAAAATAAATTTCTTCTGAAAAACCTCACTTAAAGTGGATACCTTAATCAGAAAAACCAAAAGAGACTTAAATAACTTAAGGTATTCGACCTTCTTCTGTGGATAGGAAGAGACTATTGTATAGTTATTACTTGATGGGTGCTTAACTAGTTACTTTGACTCAGTCAAGTGAAAAAAACAAAGAAAAAGGAATTTTCAATAAAAATGAAATCAGAAAAGATAAAGAAAAATATGCTCCTTTATTTTAATGGTTATATTCCCTTAATTTAATACAATCAGGTAGGTGTTCATAAAATTATATTTTTATTTCTTGGAATATGTAATAAATCATTAGAAAGTTCATAATGCAAAAGATAAAGTTAGCTTTTCTTAAAATTATTTATGCACTGCATATACCTAAAGAAGAGTCATAGAGCGGCCAGCGTTCCCAGTAACAGCTAAGCGATCACTTATTTCTCTGCTAGTTAATCCAGGCAGAATTAAATCACATATGGAATTGCATTAACTTCACATCCAGTTTATAGACCTGTCAGGTTGTTAACAGTCTGTGCATGTGCATCACTGTCTTTGCTGGAAGGCGAGCTCCGAGTGTGCTCCTCAGTATGCACCTCCTGCTGGGCGTGCGCCCCGCACTGTGTCAGCCAAACAAGGGAGGAACAGCGGCGACCTGAACGACGGCCGCAGCCTGGGGGGCGCCCGCCGGCCTGGGGCGGAGGGGCTCCCCCAGCGGGTGTCACGTCTCCAGAGAGTCAGGGCGCCCCTCGGGGAGTCAGAGGGGCACTGTCCCCAACATGCTGTCCTCCCGAGAACAGCACTTGGTGCTGCCCTGCTGGAAACAGTCCCAGCGTCTCCAAGTCAGCCTGGGACTTACACACTCAGCTTCCTGCTCACCCCTGGTCCACCTGTAAAGGGATCTATCCGTGTATCATCTATCTGTCCATCCATCCATCTGTCCACCACCTATCTATGGACCTATCCATCTATCTGTGTGTCTATCATCTATCCGTCCATCCATCCGTATCTGTCTGGCTGTCTACCTACCTATTGATACATTTTCATGTCTGGGTATTACAGCTCTGTCTTAAGCTAAGTTCCCATGTATCACGTTCCAGTATATCATCCACCTCTTGTGGGACCTACATCGCCATCTCTGAGTATTTCATGAAGAGAAAGATGATTGTTGGAGACTTGGCAGCATTTGAATATATGATTGAAAAACCAACAGTTTTTCCTTCCTACAGGCAAAAGAATTACTTATATATATGTAGGTCCTTTACGTATATGTAGCTTACTTATATATAGGTAGGTCCCTTATATATATATGTAGATCCCTTACATATATATAGGTCCCTTACATATATGTAGGCCCCTAATGTGTGTGTAGGCCCCTCACGTATGTGTAGGCCCCTCACGTATGTGTAGGCCCCTCACGTATGTGTAGACGAATTACTTGGTCTCCCCCGCCCCCTGAGACCCGAGCTGAAGCCTGGTCTGCTAGGAGTCCTCAGCAGAAGGGAATGTGTGTCTGCGGTCTTAGGGACCCTCACTCCATGTGGCTAGAGACCCACCAAGCGTTGTTTTCTTTCTGTGACTTGGTTTTCCTTCTGAATGGTGTTTATTTTTTGGTCCTACCAGTCTTTACTAAATTAGTAGTTTGAAAAGAATCTTGGTAAGATTCCTGGTGATAAATATGGTATCAAAGCAGATTTTTGAGCTCGCTAGCGACTTAAAGATTTGCAATAGTTGGAGAAGAGGGTGACAGAGGATATGATGGTTAGATGGCATCACCGATTCAATGGACATGAGTTTGTGCAAACCTCAGGAGATAGTGAAGGACAGGGAAGCCAGGCGTGCTGCAGTCCGTGGGGTCACAAAGGGTCGGACACGATGGAGGCGACTTAGCATGCACACATACATTGATAGGTGAAGAGTCACGCTTTCTTTCAAGATATCTTAAGGACAAGCCCTCCTTGCCAGTCGTGGGTGTGGAGCAGATGCAGGTGCAGCCGTGGGCCTTGTCCTCAGGGGGCGTGTGGTCTAAGGCGGATGCAGAGGGAAGTGGGACAAGAGACCCAGGGAAGACACCGCGGGTCTTGCACAGGGGCTTAGCTTATTGTTAAATCCATGCACTCAATTCTTAAGTTGCATGACTGTGTCCATTAACTTTTTTAATCATATTCTGACTTGTGACAGTTCGCATTGCGTGTCACTAGATAGTCAAAGCCAGTTATGAGAATCTAATATTGTCGTGTTACGTTCACTGTTTTTAGAAAGTTGAGCTATAAAGAAAGTCATTTCTCCCACGTGTCTTAGTGATATGTTTACTACAGAAAGGAAACATATACTAGTTGTTTTTGCAACCTCAGAGATAGATTAGAAATACTAATCTCTAACAGAATGTGATTAGATAACTTGCTTTTAAATATATGTGGAAGGCAGAACTCGGATGTAGCTGAGACATCCAGCACTGGCCAAAACTAAGATAACTCAGACGCTCATGTTCAGAGCCTGGCCCAGCGCAGCAGTCTGGACCCGGGTGTCACACATCGTGCTGTGTGCCGGGATTGGAGGGCGGTCGTGGCTGGGTCGGACTGTGGGGGTGGACGGCGTGTTGTCTGCTCCCTCTACCCGGCGGCCCTGTGCTCTGAACGAGGCCTGGTGGTTCATTCTGAAGGTTTTGCTCCGCAGGTCGTCCACATGGGCTGGGTCAGCGAGCGACTGGGAGGCGCCGGCTCGTCTCAGACCTTCAGACCCAGGTTCCTGGCGCTGAAGGGCTCAGCCTTCTACGTCTTCGTCTCTCCTCCGGTAAGCGGGCCCTTGGGGCTGGGAGGGACGCTGAGGAGGCCACTCTCTAAGCGAAGACGCATCAGGCCTAGCATTTGGAAGTGGTCGGGAGGGTGCGCGGCGGGCCAGCCTCCAGCCCCACGTCCGCTGATGGAAAGGACTCTGCTGTGGGCTCTTCTCACGCTAAGCTCATTAATCAGCCGGCCAAGGTTCCCTTCTTTTCAAGCAGCCACTGAGACATGAGCGTGTTTTCCTGCTGAAGATACCAGTCGGCCTGGAGGTGGGGGTGCAGAGGCGTGGGGGGGGTCTCAGACCACCTTTCATATGGGTGAAGGAGCCACAGAACAGGAGAAGAGCCTTCTCATCAGAAATTCCTAACTTCATGGTCAAGTAATGAAACACAAAAAGACATTTTCTCTCATGTCCTCCACGTTTTATAAAAATAAACAGCCTGATTTAGTAGGGCCCACAATAGAAATTTAATGCTGAATGCTACAGTTTGCAATTTATTTTCTAATTCTCACCAGCACCACTTTCTCAAAACCGACCAAGTCTGTGTGTGCCCTGCCTCGAGGTTTATCGGTAAAAGCCGATTCACTTTCTGGGTCCGAACATCAGAGCTGCAAACAAATAGCACAACCTAATCGCTTCAGGATCTAACAGTTGAGATGCAAGTCACCTACAGTATTGTTGCTTTTCTGCCATTAAAAATAAACGAAAGTGTCCTTCCCTGTAGGGCCGAATGCCTTTCTGCTGTCCTCACACGGCCCGTTTTCTTTATCCGCCCTCCACCCATCAGCGGACACTGTAATCGAGTCTGTGGCCGGGCTGCTGTGAATGGTGAGGGACATGGGGTGCAGGGCTCTTGAGACTCAGAGTTTGTTCCCTTTGGATAAATATCCAGGAGTGGGATCGCTGGATCGAACGGTAGCTCTGCTTCCGTTTCTTTGAGAAGCCCCCATGCCGTCTCCGCAGTGGCCGTGCCATTTACATGCCTCACATCCACACAGCACCATCGTCTCCGGCTGTGGGGTGATGGGTGTGTTTATGATAAACGGGGGTGCTGGTTTCGCGTGTCTCCTCATCTTCAGGCTCATGAGTTGTGTGCGGCACATCTGTATGGCTTTTGGAATGTCAATCATACCTCAGTAAAGAAGTTTTAAAAATAAAAAATAGTAGAGGGCAAATCAAGTTTTACTCTCAGACATCTAAACAATAATGCATGCTTTCATCGTTAAGCAAGGTTTTCTTTAATAAGATTTTTACTGGGGGATAATTTTAGAGGATGAGATGATTAGATAGCATCACCGACTCAATGGACATGAGTGGGAGATGGTAAAAGACAGGTGAGCCTGGCGGGCTGCAGTCCATGGGGTCGCAAAGAGTCGGGCACAACTTAGCGATTGAACAACAGCAGTTTCTGATAGAGAAGTTGTGTCCGGGGAGGAGGACTCCCTCCAAGTTCCTGAGTGCTGACTTTGTACAGAAGTGGGGTCCGTGTGTTGAAACTGAAGGATTATCAGTGGCAGAACACGGGGTACTAAACCACGGATGCCTCCAGGCTTGTCTGCCCTCAGAGCTTTTTCCTGTCCCCAGGACTCAAGCCAGGATTCCACCAGGGACCTGAGTGTTTCAAAAAACCAAGGCTGTGAATTACTAATGCTGGAGAGTTATCTACAGATTTGCATAATCACTGAATTTTTCTCAAATGCAGTGAGGTTCTTTAACATTGTTGCTAGGAAAGTAAACACAAGGATAACCACAGATAACCCCCATGGTCTCAGCCCAGGCCCCGCGATGTCACGGAAGGCAGCTGGGGCATGGCTGGCAGATCCGGAACCAGAACTCCGGGGCTCTGGGCTGAGGGGCCCCCTGCTGGCCCAGGACAGCTCGGGGAGGAGGGGAGAGTGGGCTCCGCCCTCTTGCACCCAGTCTGCCTGAGGGAGGGACCCCCTGCCGCAGAACAGGGAGAGAAGCCTGGGATGCCCCAGATCACTTCTGAATCTTTCCTTTCTTGCTAATTAAGACCCTCAGGGTATGAGTTTCCCCACACACAGAATTCTAAGTTGTGAGAAGTGCTTTAAATGTTAATCAAATTTCCATACTTGCTCTGGGGAGAGATGATTTCATCCACTTCCCTTGGCAGTTTCAGTTTCACGGACAGAAATTCTAACCGGGGGGTCACAGGGTCCTCCAGGATCTCCAGCTGGACAGTGTCATTTCTGTTAACACCAGGCTCTGCTTGTTTATTTTGAAATCCCATGGCAAATTTTCTTGGCGTCGATCCGTGGCACAAGCATCACATCGTATGAAATCGATTGCTGACTTCAGCTGCTGGGGTGTGTTCGCCTGGCGCCAGCTGCTACCACCTGAATATTGTGCTCAGAAGCTTGAGGTCCGCTCAGCGCTCTGTTCTGAGCGGGGGTCTGGCCGAGGGGCCGAGTAGTCTCTCTGCACCCCAGGGGTAGGGTGCCCCTCTCCCTGGCCTCCCTAGAACCGGAAGCAGCTTTTACCTCTGCTCCTCCCCTTTCTTAGGTGGCTTTTGGATGAGGTCCGACTCTCTGTGGCCCCATGGACTGCAGCCCGCCAGGCTCACCTGTCTTTCACCATCTCCCAGAGTTTGCTCAGACTCAAGTCCTTTGAGTCGGTGTTGTAACCTTATCATCTCATCCTCTAAAATTATTCCCCGAGAAAAAGCTCATTAAAGAAAACCTTGCTTATCACTGAAAACATGCTTTATTGTCTAGATGTCTGAGAGTAAAACTTGATTTGCCCTCTACTATTCTTTAGTTTTAGAACTTCTACATCACAGGTAGTTTAGTAGCAGCAGGTACACCGCATCTTTTCACAGACACCCCTGCTCCTGACTCTGGATTCAGGGGGTACAGATGCTCAGCTGACCCCAGAGGTAAAAAGGGCAATGCGGCAAGTCTGGTCCCCTCTCCAAGCCCTGGCTGCCTCTGGACCGAGGTCAGCTGTTCAGGCTCTCACCAGTAAGTTAAGGTTTGCATGAATTCAGTGCGGGGCTGGCGGCTGCTGGGAGCCGGAGGTCCGGATCCATCCTGACCCTGCCCACCATCTAGCGAAGCCGCGCCGCCTCCCGCAGCGGGCATGAGCGCCCCGCGTGCGCCGACGTTGGAGGGTGAGACGCGTGGTGAGTGGGGCACCCGGCTGGTTCCTGGTCCCCGGGGAGAAGCTCTGAGCTCCGCTCCCCTGACCGGCCGTGAGTACCTGCCTCGTGGTCTGAGGCTCTGTCGTTAGGTGCAGCCGTGTTAAGGATGGTTACGTCTGCTTTGAGAACTGACCGTTAATCCTTCCGTAATAACCTTCTTTGTCCCTGATAACCCCTTATTGTAACATGTGCTCTGTAGGAAAGGGATACCCCTCTGCTTCCTTCCGATCAGGGGAGTCTTTTCTCCACCCCCTGCTCTCAATCCACGTGTGTCTTGGGGCTGCGTCGGGCCCAGGCCAGTCTTCTCTTCGGCTCCAAGAAGACTGGTGACGCTTCCGTCCGTTCAGGCCTGTTCTGCGGCTCACACAGGCGTGCTGACACTCAGCCGCTTACCTGCGGAACCAGAAACACAGCAACTTTATGAATAGAAAAAAAAATTAAACATCGCTCCTACATAGTGGCATTATGCTGGTTTAAAGTGAAATGTTTAAATAATTTTCACAGACTATCCGAAATAATGAAAGCATATTTTAAAATGGGGGCTGAAAAAAAAATAAAATGAGGGCTGAAAGATTTAATGAGACAATGGAAATATTTACTCAGCAAAATGTTAGAGAAAAGGGCCTTAGGGGAAAGGAAAAGTTGTAAGTTGACGATTGGAAGCTTTGGGCTGTAAACGGAATCCTTCCACTTCCTGGCTAAGGGAACACAGACACCTCACCCACCCTCTGCTCAGCGGTTTCCTCAGTTGTATGAAAAACTCACAAATGCTAGCTGAATACCTCATAGGATCAAACAGAACACTAACGCTTGATTTATATACTTAAAATGTGTCTGAAACTCCAGAGCATTTGCATTTAACAGATGTAATTTTACGCTTAGTACTCGGCAACTTCTCACTGTAAAAGCAATACACAAAGAATGGCCAGTGAATATTTACACATATGTAAATCTACATATGTTCTGTCTGACCTTGGATTTTTGTATCCTGGAGCTAGAGGCAAATTGCCAGTAATGATTTCTGCTTTGCCCAAATCTAAAGCAACCATATGTGACGCTCTTAACGCTGTATTTATCTGTCTCCTGTGTGCTGATGTAAGGAGTGAGGTCATGCCTGTGAGGGGACCTTCGATGACTCGCAGCATCTTACCAGCGTCCTGGCCCCACTGCTGGGCTCTGCGTCCTCAGAGGGGGGCACCACACGAGAGGGCTCGGGGTCACCGGGCGTCTCTGGGCTGGGATAACAGGACAGCTCTCTTGCGGGGCGGGGTGGGGGGTTGGGAGGAGAGCAGATAAATTACTCCAGGAGAGCGGAGCCCCAGAGGCACCCGGGATGTGCCCTGGGACCCACGAGAGGACACAGCCAGTAGCGAGGGTGGGGCGCCCAGGTTGTAACCAAAGGCTGGTCGACGCGGGAGAAGCTGGATTTTCCCAGCCTTCTCATGTACTTGACCTTCCTTCCTTAAAGTGAGTAGTTATTTCTGTTTGCAAATTGGAACCTGAAAAACAGTGTTTCAATTGCTTGTGTTTTCAAACACCATTAAAATGTGTTAAACAGCACTTATGAAACCAATTTTACAGCATCTTACAGCCTTAACACACATTACGTGGCACTTGGCTATGAATGTGCAAGAAAAATCGGAAGTAACCTTAAGGTTGTCAAGTAGGGAAATATATCACTTAAAAAATATTTACCTGGAAAGAAATAAATTAAGATATGTAAGCTGAAGGCGTATTAGACAATTATGTACCCAGTATAGAATATTATTCTTTGTCACTTCTGTGGGTACATAAGTGTTCCACAATAATATTTAAATGTTCCAGGATATCACATCTGAGCATCTACAGTTTCAACTCTGTTTCAGGTGAGATGTGCTCAGATAAAATAGAACATTGTCAAGACAGAGGGCAAGGAAGAGACCTGCTTTCGGGAGTTGATGAATAGACCTTGTGAGGTTTGCAGAAAAGTGAGCGGCTAGTGGAGTTCAGGCCCTGCCCCCCTTCTCACTGTCCTGGCTCAGTGGGCACGTGTCCCAGCTGATGACCATCACAGGTACATCAGTGACCACCGCCACGGGGTCCCCACACAGCTTCCAGAGGCTCTCAGGGCAGCAGCGCTTCTCTTCAAGTCCAGGGAAGAAACGGTTCCACCTGAAGCTGGAGCCTCTTCTCAGCCTCAGGCGCATCCCTGACAGGACATCTTCTCCTTGAAACGGTCTCTGTGGCCCAGAGGGGGAGATGAACCATCCCCTGGGCTGAGCCTACACCTGCCAGTATCACGGAGCCGGGCGTGGAGAGGGGTCTTTCCCAGGTGCGGGGGAGAGGAGGCTGACTGTCAGCAAGGAAAATTGGATAGAAGAGACACCTCCAAGCACAGGTGGCCACTGCAGACCCAAGAGAGCAGGGCTGTAGCAGACAGGTCAGGACCGTAGCAGGGTGAGTGAGGAGATGTGCACCTGGGAGACCGAGTACCCCCTAGATTCTTAAATTTAACCCAAAGTTGGTCCTTCACTTAAGGTAAAAGCATCCAAAAAGAATTCCTTAAGTGATGCCCAACTGTGTGTAATCGGTAAGTTCCTCCATCACCAGGTTCTAGAATCAAAATGTGTGTAAGCATATTCGAACCTCATGCCAAGACTCCAAGGGCGGGAACACACAGCACGCGCTGGAGTCCACCACGGCATCTAGTCCAGTTTGCCAACTGTCCTGCTCCTGCTTAAGGTTTAATTAAGGAAGAGACACATTGACTGACTTTATTGTTATAAATGTTTAAACTCTCACCCTGAAAACATTTATCTAATTTCATGTATACTTTAAAAGCCTTTTTCCAGTTTTATTGAGGTACAATTAAGAAAAGTGTAATACGTGTAAAGTGTACAGTGTGACCACTTGATGTCTGTATACCTGTCCAGCGAGTCCCACAAGCGGGGTGATTAACACCTCCGTCACCTCACACGGCTCCCCATATTTTGGGTGAAAACACATAAGATTCACGTGTCTGTCTTATGTTTCTTACAGGTGAGCCCATTGGATTGGGTCCAAGCAGAAAAAACCTATCACCTCTGTGAGGTTCTGTTTAAGGTTCACAAGGTAAGTTTAAGCATCCTTTGCACACCAGATGTGTCCATGTTAACAGCCGTCCCTTTGTGCTTGAAAAGGGAGAGAGAGATTTACCAGTGTCAAAACAGTCAGATGACATGAGCATATACAGGTTCGTCCCACCATCACTCATCAAAATTCCGCAAAGAATGTCAGAGAGGCGCTTTCAAGCCTTTATTTTATGTAGGCTCTGCATTGTTTCATTCTGGCCTTTTTGTATTTACAACTTGTTTGTATGGCTTTCCATACACTTAAGAGTGGAGAAGGAAATGGCAACCCACTCCAGGATTCTTTCCTGGAGAACCCCATGGACAGAGGAGCCTGGCGGCTGCAGTCCCTGGGGCCACACAGTCAGACACGACTGAGCCACTAAACCACCTCCACCATACACTTAAGAGGGCTTCCCTGGTGGCGCTAGTGGTACAGGACCCGCCTGCTAGTGCAGGAGACACGAGAGACGCAGGCTCGATCCCTGGGTCAGGAAGATCCCCTGGAGGAGGGCGTGACAACCCACCCCAGCGTTCTCGCCTGGAGAACCCCATGGACAGAGAGGCCTGGTGGGCTACCATCCCATGGGATCGCAAAGAGTTGGACACGACTGAAGTGACTTAGCACAGCATACATCTAAGACACGTATTTGGTATTGGACTGTCTCCAAAAACCATCATATTTTATATGTGAGCTTCATTAATAAACTATAGAGCCTCTTCTATTTTATCCAGCATATTTTTTCAGAAAGATTGAGAAAATGTTTAATCAGTAAATATGCTGAGAAGTAACTGAAATCATGCAGTTAGCCAAGAGGATGATTATAGCAAAAGTGTTAAACTCAATTCAGGGCAAATAATAGCAACAACAATAATAAATGCACAGCATTTGACATTTTTAAAAAGGAGACTGAAAGTTGTGGATATCCTATTAGAAGTCTTTAAATAGTGATCTTACAAAATCTCCCCCTTTCTAATGTGACTTTAATCCTTGATGTTGAACATATGAATTTAAAATTATGATATTTAATTCACCTTTCAAAAATTCAGATAAATGATTATTTTAAGAACTAGTACTTTAGAATTTTTTAATGATTTATTTTCATAATCATTCAAAGTATAGTCGTTAATATATAGTCCAGAAATCAAATTTTGTGGTTGTGGTGGTGTGTTTCTGCAACACTTTCTCCTCTCCATAAATTACTTTTTCTAGTTCTTAAAGTTATGTATCTGTATTTCACACTCACCATGAAAGAGATGAGAAAATTGAATCAATCAGACTTGATTGCAGTTGTGACTGAAATTATAAACAGCCCCCACACAGTGGGTAATGAAAGCACTGCTCACCAGTGAGGCACGTCCTGTGTGAATATCCCCTCCGCACATAAGAATATCCCATCTGCATTTCTCAGTGCAACTAGTTACTCACCTGTTTGGCAAAGGACCTTGATACCGGTGTCTTCCCTTTGCTAAGCGTCGGTCCTGGAGCTCTGCTGGGTGCTCCGTCTCCCTCCTGAGTTAGTCCTGCCCCCCACGCCCCCCAGGAGGGAATCCTCATCGTGTTCGTCTTCCAGCTGAGGCTCTGATGCACAGACTAGGGAGTAACTTCCAGAAGCCGCTCTGGAGGCGGGGGGCCCAGGCTCCCTTGGCCTGAAGCGTAGCTGAATCTTATTTTACTTTACATACACGATTCTTTCTTCCCTCTGCAGATGGAAGCATACGCACTAACCCTCATGTCACTTTTTGCTCTGCAGTGTTAACTTGCGGATCTTCAATATACGCAGAGGTGATCCCTCTTTAATACCACTGACTAGTATTTAATTCCATGAATATATCATACTTTATTTCACCAAGCCCTTATCAAGGAATATTTAATTTGTTCCCTTTTCTGAAATTACAAACAATGTAATAAATCATTTTACACGTGGGCAAGTATAACGAGGAAAAATGTATAGAGGCGGAATTTCTGGGGCAAAGAATGTGAACTGTTTGCGTTCTAATAACCAACAAGGACGTATTGGATAGCACAGAGAACTCTGCTTCATAATCTATAACAACCTGAATGGAAAAATGATCTGAAAAATAATAGATACATGTATAAATCAACCCTAACTATTCATTGGAAGGACTGGTGCTGAAGCTGAAGCTCCAACACTTTGGCCATCTGATGCGAAGAGCTAACTCATTGAGAAAGACCCTGATGCTGGGAAAGACTGAAGCTAAAAGGAGAAAGGGGAGGCAAAGGATGAGGTGGTTAGGTAGCATAGCCAGCTCAGTAGACATGAATTTGAGCAAGCTCCAGGAAATAGTGAAGGACAGGGAAGCCTGGAGTGCTGCAGTCCTTGAGGCCACAAAGAGTCGGACACAATGTTGCAACTGAGCGCCCACACTTACGTGTGACTGCATCACTTTGCTGCGCGCCTGAAACTAATACAGCATTGTGAATCTCCCTTGTGTGTGTGTGGTGTGTGTGGTGTGTGTGTCTGTGTGTGTGTGTCTGTGCCTGTGTGTGTCTGTGTGTGTCTGTGTGTCTGTGTGTGTGTGTCTGTGTGTGTGTCTGTGTCTGTGTGTGTGTGTCTGTGTGTGTGGTGTGTGCGGTGTGTGTGTCTGTGCCTGTGTGTGTCTGTGTGTGTGTGTGTGTCTGTGGTGTGTGTGTCTGTGTGTGTGTCTGTGTGTGTGTCTGTGTGTGTGTCTGTGTGTGTGTGTCTGTGTGTGTGTGTGGTGTGTCTGTGTGTATGTGTGTCTGTGTCTGTGTCTGTGTGTGTGTGTGTGTGTCTGTGTGTGTCTGTGTGTGTCTGTGTGTCTGTGTGTGTGTGTCTGTGTGTGTGTCTGTGTCTGTGTGTGTGGTGTGTGCGGTGTGTGTGTCTGTGCCTGTGTGTGTCTGTGTGTGTGTGTCTGTGGTGTGTGGTGTGTGTGTCTGTGTGTGTGTCTGTGTGTGTGTCTGTGTCTGTGTGTGTGTCTGTGTCTGTGTGTGTGTGTCTGTGTGTGTGTGTGGTGTGTCTGTGTGTATGTGTGTCTGTGTCTGTGTCTGTGTGTGTGTGTGTGTGTGTCTGTGTGTGTGTGTGTGTGTTTGTGTGCTTTCTCATTGTGCCTGACTGTCTTGTGACCCCATGGACTGTAGCCAGCCAGACTCCTCTGTCCATGGAATTTCCAGGCAAAAATACTGGAGTGGGTTGCATTTCCTCCTCCAGGGGGTCTTCCCAACCCAGGGATCGAACCCACATCTCCTCCATTAGCAGGTGAATTCTTTACCACTGAGCCTATTCTTTACCACCTTTACCACTGAAGCCCTAAATCAACCTTACTCCAATAATAAAACATTTTTAAACAGAAATAAAAAAAGAAATGCAAGTGAAAATCATGAAGTGATATGTTTGCCGCCTAGAGTGTCAAAGATGGGAAGGTTGATACCGATGGGAGGAAGGATCTATCAGAATGTGAGCAGCCCTTCGACCTGGAAATCACACCTGTGAGTGCTGGTTTGTCTCACTTGTCGGCAGCACTGGCCTTGCAGGAAGCGCTCTAGCTTCCCTCTGGGACCTGTTCTCCACTTGCCGCTCACTGGACCCGTGTGAATAATGGCAGTATGACCCCTCAGGTCCCGTTGGAAGGAACCGTCCCCATCCAAGTTGGACAAAGACGATGTTTAGTGCGGGCAGAGACTGACCTCAGCTCCCCGGGAACAAGGGGCGGGGGCCCCTGGGCTGGGTGAGGAGGCGAGCATGGGCCACGTGGGCCCCGCCTGCAGCCCCCGACCCCCCGCCGCCCGACAAAAGGAAAGGACCTCTCTGGTGTCTCCGTGGGTGGAGACAGTCTTGCAGTTTGGTTGGACCCCTCGGAGGGAGAGTCCCACGTGCAGAGCTTGGAGGACAGGGGTACGTCCTGGGCCTTCACCCTCCGGGGGCGTGGAGGGCTCCGTAGAGCTGGCGGCGCTTTAATAAGATCTCCATCTCCAGGGGCAGAGAGAGGACTCAGAAGGCTCTCCGAGGGTGGCAGGCCCGGGGAGGTGGCGGGCAGCCGGCACGGGGCCACAGCAGCTGTTGAGGCTGTGGGAAAGGCGTGGGAGCCCAGCTACTCAGTCTCCAGCTCAGGGACCTTAGGTTTGAAGTCGCTCCGTCTTTAGTCATGATGAGACATTGCAGTTCACAAGAACTGAGCTTGTGATCTTCAAAAGGGCCCCGGGAGATAGCTGGGGTGGAGCTGTGCATGGTCAGTAACCTCACTCATCATCAGCATCCGTGTCTCGGCATTCTTCGTGGGGCTCAACAGATTTAGCTTCAGGAAGTAGTCACATCTGCGAAACCCTTAAGCATTCTTCCCAGGGATTCTTGGGTTGGGCAAAGGCTGTTTTTATTTCTTCTCTTTGTTCGTGCACATAGAGCTGAGGTTTGTCCATTCAGGTGAAGACTCACACGCACTTGACTGCTCCATCAGACAAACTCAGTCTTAGGAACTGACTCGACACGAGAAAGTCACAGGAGTCAGATAGTTGTGCCCATGGAAATATACAGTGATGTTTTTAAATTAGTGAAAGTTGGATGAATTGTTCAAAAACCATTGAGAAATAAAGTTTCAATGTGATCGTGTATTTTAAGTACTCCATTAAAATCACATTACACACTTATAGAATTATGTGTACAAAGAGCTATGAAAGAAAGAAAGAAAGTGAAGTGGCTCAGTTGTATCCAACTCTTTGCGACCCCATGGACTGTATGTAGCCTACCAGGCTCCTCCGTCCATGGAATTTTTCAGGCAAGAATACTGGAGTGGGTTGCCATTTCCTTCTCCAGGGGATCTTCCCCACACAGGGATTGAACCTGCGTCTCCCTCATTGCAGGCAGACGCTTTACCCTCTGAACCACCAGTGATCTGGAATCTGGAGACATTGCCTGGAAGGACTATAAAAACAAATTAGATGACAAAAGGCAGTCATAATGGAATTATCTGTCTTTTAAATTTCCTATATTGCTGCTATCATATTTTCAAATAAATAGAAGCAGGAAAGACCCAGGTAATTTTTTTAAGGCGGTCAAACATATTTCACTTTACATGATGAATGTACTAATTTTTATCTTCAAATTGGGATCACAGATTAATTTTTCTTTTGACAATTGCTTGGTTTTTTCACTTTTACACAATCCAAACAAGGGCTTTGCACAAATGCAACATCCAACTCAAACAATAAAATGACCGTAGCACAAATGGAAGTGCTACAGAGACAGAAGACAGAAGTTAAAAATGGCGTTGGTGCCATAGTGACCCCATGGGCTGTGGTCCACCAGGCTTCTCTGTCCATGGGATTTCCCAGGCAAGAATACTGGAGTGGCTTGCCATTTCCTTCTCCAGTCAGGTAATTTTTTAAAACAGTCTTTGCATTTTGTTTTCCGAAGAGTGAACGTTAGGTGTCTCCCTTCACAGGGTCTGGGGCAGGGGGCGCCTCGGGGTGGGTGGATGGAAGCATGGTGCTGGCTTGTGTGGTCGCTGAAGCACTCAGGAGCCCGTTCGCTACATGTTAGACGTGCAAGCTCAGTCTGTGCCCCCTCAACCCTGCCTGACGGCTGGCATGCTCGGTGTAAGCAGAACGTGAGCCGCATGGTGAGGATGCGGGAGCCGCAGCCTCATTCCTGACATCCCTTAATTAGCCCAAGACTTGCGGTTCAAGTGGGTGACTCAGGGAGAAGTAAAATCTCAAGGTCAACAGCTGACAATTGGCCAGGAAGGTCCCAAGTATTGTCTGTCTGGCCCCAAGCCTGTTTTTATTCTATTGAAATGCACAGCCCCCTAAACAACACCCAGCGTAGGAAAGAACACGGCCGCAGTTTCCCCCACACAAACACTCACTAAGAGTCCTTTCTTCTTTGGTGGACGGTCCTGACACTCAAGGTTGGTAGCCGTGGACGGTTTCTGAGAAGTCAGGTCCGTGACCGAAGGCTTGCTCTTCTTGACTCACAACCTGATGTCCTATTTCCTGTGTGGTTTCTGGGCATCCCCGTCTGAGGTCACGGCCTGGGGGCGCAGCTGGGGAGCCTCACTGAATTCAGCGTTTGCTGGCTTGGGGATAAACTTCAGCAAAAACACTTCATAACTTTCATCTTTATCCTGGAAGCTAAACGTAGAAACAGACTGTGGTCGCTGATAATGCGTGTGGAAGGCGCTTCCAGCGTGTAGGGAATGGGACACAGCTGGCACACGGCAGTTACCTTACAGGCTCGTCTCTGCCGCAGCGGTGTCGGGGGGCTTCTGCTGCGGGGGTCCCTGTGGAGCACGTCCCGGGCGGGTCCTGGGGGCCATCCCCCTCTAACCGGCGTCACCCCCATCCATTTCAGCTCTGGCTCCCAGATGACTGCTGGGCGCAAGCCAGCCTCTCCCTGGGACTCCAGGATCCCGATGGCGGGGACCACGGGCCCTTCTGCTTCAGCATCCTCGTGGGCCACGGCGGGGGCCACGTGTTCGGTGTGGAGCTGGGCAACGAGCTGGCCGCCTGGGAGCTGTCCTTCCAGAGAGCCACCTTCCGAGCCGTGCAGAGGACAGGGGTAAGTGGCCCGCTCGTCTCTGAGTGATCTGAATCAGAGCGGACGTGGTGGTCGTTCCGGGAAGCACGCATCTGCAGAAGCCGGGAGGACTCTGCCCAGGGCCCCGGGCCCAGCGCGTCGGGAGCCGCTGTGGAAGGTCATGGAGGGAAGCAAGGTGGGGAGTTTTCATCTCGTTCAGCCCAGCGTTTCTGTCCAGCGTGAGGTAGGGGCCTGGATGCCAGCCAAGGGAAGCCCCCCACCGAGGGCACGGCTGGGTCCCTGGAGTCTGCTCATCACCCATGTTTACTGAGACGTCACTGGGCGCTTGGCATTTCTTCAGGCACTTGATGGCCCTTCCTCAGACTCACTGACCCAGTGAGGAGCATAACACAGCTCGAGTGTTTGGGTTGTTTCCCCCTCCTCGGTACAGAAGGTAAATCCCACAGATCGAGCTGTGTGTGGATGGAGCAGTCCCCTCCTGAGACCTTATGATGTGAAAAATAATAACCTTGAAGTTGTCCCAGAGCTCTCTTAAGCTGTCCTCATTTTAAAATTCTTTTTTCTATTCGACGTGGATGATTCCCACTGCTCTGTCATCCAGCGTCCTGCTCTGCTCCTGTGTATCATCTACTCTACTCTTGATTCCTCCTAGTGTATTTCTAATTTTTCAGCGCTCTTTGATTCGTCTTTATATTTTCTGACTCTGTTAAAGTTCTTACTGTGTTCATTCTCCTCCCCAAGTCCTCTCAGCATCTTTCGGGTCATTACCTTGAGCTCTGTTAGGTAGATTTCTTATCTCCACTTTGCTTAGTTCTTCTTGGGTTCATCGTACCCCGTCACTGGGGAAACATTCCTTCGTTCCCTCATCTTGCCTACTTCTCTGTGTCTGTGTGTCCCAGGAGAGCCGGTTACTTTTCCCAATCTTGGAGACGTCCCGAGGCTCCAGCGGCACACAGCCCCCTGGACGCCGGAGCTGTGCGCTCCAGCAGGGCCCCATGCGCGCGTATGGGTGCCTCTGTGCAGACAGGGCTGACTGCGGTGGGCAAACTGCTGGACCGCTGGTCCCTGGCCCCCCGGCTGCCAGGCCCCGCCTGTGTGGAGGTCGCTAGATGCTGCGGTGAGGCTGCGTCCTGAGGCAGCTAGCTGTGGCGTGTGAGGGGCCCCGGGCTGGTCCAGCTGGTGGCGCTGGGTCCTTTGGTGGGGCCGTGCTAGGGCTGGCCTTCTGGTGGCTGGGCCCAAGTCCCCTCGTGATTGACTGCTCAGCCTGGGGTCGCAGGGCTGGTGGGGGAGCTGAGCCCATGCTCAGAGACTCTGGGGAGGACCCCACAATGGCCCTCATCAGCCCCTGTGTCCCCACACTAGAATCTGCTTCCACATGGGCGCTGCCCCATCCACACCCCGGGGTGACTTCCAGCTGCCCCCAGCCTCCTTGGAGATGCTCCAGGGTCAGCAGGTGGGCCTGACCCCGGCTTCCTCCCAGTTATCAGCCCTGCCTCAGAGGGAGCAGGTCAGCGTGTCCCCGGCCAGCACAGCGCCCTCACATAGGGGGTCCCACCCCGGGCCCCCGGGAGCATCGTCTTCCAGGAGCTGTTTCCCCACAAGGGCAGAAGCTTGCCTGGGGAAACTTACCTTATCTTTTCATAGGGAGCGTGCTCCTCAGCAAGTTGGCTCCAGTATCCCTCGGTGTTGACCCAATTCCCCAAAGGTGTTATGTAAGGACACAGGAAATGTAGCCTGGAAATGTCGCGACTGGAGGAACTGTCTCCTGAAACAGAACGGAGGGAAGGCATGGTCCCCCCGGGGGCTGGAGGGCTCACCCTTGGCTCCTGCCACATGGGTCTGGTGCGCCTGGCATCACCACCACTGTGCCAGGATCCATGTGCTTACCTGAGAATTTGACAGACTAGCAGCCACGGGAGCACCGACCATGCCTCTGGTGCTCACACTCAGCCGGCACTGCTAGGAGCTGTGTGCACCCGAGCCTGTCGGGGTCGCCCCGCCCACCCCCGCAGCAGTCTCCCTTCCGCAGCCCCAGGCGCGGAGCTTGGTGGAGTCTCTGCTGCTTCTGTCCTTTGCTCTTGTTCTGGGTCAGAACCCTTGGAACGTCTCCCGAGAGCAGCCGGGTCTCATGTCTGGGGACGCACTTGAAGGCTGGCCTGTCCCAAGGCAGCTTGTAGGAGCGAAGCGTGCACGCTCATTCGTGTAACGGGGATGTGCTGGGTGGCATCACAGGGAGTTATGATCTTGGGTTAGGGTGTTTCTGGAGGATGCCGTCGGGCTCCGCTCTGCTGAGACCGGCACCTCTGCTGACTCTGCACCTGCTGGTGGGCCAGCGCGGGAGGCACTGCGTGAGAGCCGTGGCCCAGGGACCTCCATGCGCTTTGGTTTTCTAAAAGCAGGTTCTGATGAGGGAGAATAGTGTAAGTAAGTGTAAGTGTCCATCGCTCAGTCGTGCCCGACTCTTGGCGACCCCACGGACTGCAGCCCACCAGGCTCCTCTGTCCCTGAGATTTTCCAGGCAAGGATACTAGAGTGGGCTACCATTTCCTCCTCCAGAGGATATTGTAGCTACCCAGTTGAGATTAAGCACCATTTTAATAAGATGTTTTCTCACAATTGATCCTTTTTTCTAGTCCAAAACGTACCCATGCAGCTGGCAAGGAGCCAGTCTGTGCTTCACGGTGGACTTTGCTCTCGGCTTCACCTGTTTCGACAGCAAGACCAAGGTAGGTGCCCGCAGGCAGGGGTGGTGCGGGTGGGCGGAGCGTGAATTACATTTCAGGGCTGCCACGCCCGTCCGCGTCTGCGCACCACCGCCCTAACAGCCGTGTCCTCTGCACTGGCTCCTTCGTGGTGACCCGCTCTTGGAGAACTCAGGGTCCCAGCACCTTACGGGTCCAGAGCTGGGCGGGGCTGACAGCACATCAGCATACCGGAGCGATTCAGTGTGGTCTTAATGTCCGTGCCCAGCAAATAACAAGGACTTCTCTTTAAGGACCATCGTGGATCCTTTAAATGATAAACGGGGAGTTTTGCATGGTCTTGTCTGTACTGTTTTAGCAGTCATTTTTGATTCTATGTAGATAATAATTCTGTAGGTGGTTCCCTGAAAGTTACCACTGCTGAGCTTTTCCTCTTCATAGTCGAATCTGACCCAACACCAAGTAATGCTCTCAGAGCAGTTTGGGTCTTGCTTATTTTGTGGGAAATCTGGCAAAACCACGGTATCAGGTTCCTCCGTCTCCTCTGGACACAGGCCCTTACAGTCACAGTTTCCTGGTAAGACAGTTGGGTGTGGGCAGATTTAAAAGTGGTTGAGATTTGGACTGTTTTCATGAAATCTTAGAGGCTGAAATCACAGCCGTCTTTCGCAGCCCTCTGAGGACAAGGCCAGGTGGGAGGTGGGAGCTGCCTGGGAGGGGGTGCCTGAGAGCTGCCCCCACCGCCGATCTCATCACTGCCCCGGCCTTCCTGGCTGGGCAATGTGCTGGGGGTGGGAGCCGCCTGGGAGGGGGTGCCTGAGAGCTGCCCCCCCCCGAGTCTCATCACTGCCCCGGGCCCTCCTGGCCGAGCTGCTGCTGTGGCTGGTTTCTCTGGCTCATCGCAACGAACCAGCGGCCCTTCCAGAACCTGCTACCGTAGCAGTGATGGAAGAGGTTTCTGAATGTCCTCGTTCTGGGTGGGTCCAGTGATTCCCACCCGAAAGGGCCTTGGTGCCCAAGTTGGGGGGCAGGGGAGACTGGACCCCGCTCCCCCATCATGGAAATGGAAGTGCTGGAGTCACTGTCCCCTGAGACCCCTGGGGTCCTGAGTTCCCCAGCATCGAGGAGGAGCGTACATGGTGGCACTCGGCTGTAAGATGCAGAGACCGTTCGGCTACGAGATCCAACACGAGAGGAAGGTGCGCAGGGACCTCAAGGCCGGTGCAGCGCGAACAGACGGCCGAGGGCAGAGGGAACAAGAGCGCCTCTGCAGTGCTCCCCAGCTCCCAGCCTCTCGGCCGCTGTGATCCTCAGAGAAAATATGCTCATTATTTCAAAATAACTGCCTTTAATACAATGCAGCTTATAGCTTGCTGAAAAATTACTGTTCTTTATTCAGGTTTTTTCTGGGAAGGTAAAGATTTGTTATCCTAAAGGGCCTATAATTAAAGACTACCTTCTTTAAAGGCTTTCCTCATAGCTCAGTTGGTAAAGAATCTGCCTGCAACGCAGGAGACCCTGGTTCAATTCCTGGGTCAGAGAGATCCGCTAGAGAAGAGACAGGCTACCCACTCCAGTATTCTTGGACTTTCCTGGTGGCTCAGCTGGTAAAGCATCCACCTGCAATGTGGGAGACCTGGGTTCAGTCTCTGGGTTGGGAAGATACCCTGGAGAAGTGAAAGGCTACCCACTCCAGTATTCTGGCCTAGAGAATTCCAGGGACTGTATATAGTCCATGGGGTCACAAAGAGTTGGACACAACTGATTGACTCTTACTTACCTTTTATAAAAGAAAGTCATGAAGTCTTTATTTGCAACAGCCTTTTTTTTTTCATTAAAAGAGTAAGCATTTATAGAATACACATCATCTCTATAGTACCTTAGCTAATAGTAAGCAGTCTTTGCAGTAGTATTCAAAGGTAATATCATCCATATTATTCAGCTGGGTTCAAGAGAAGCCAGCACTGAGTGATTTCAACTTTGTCTTGTTGGAGGGGGTAGGATTTGTTTTACCTGCACTGTCAGTCACGTCTCACACACTGTAACAGGGGCTGGGCCTTGGAGAGGGTTAAGTTTCACAGGCAGAAAAGGGAGTGAAGCTCTGATGATGCTTTTAGATGTAAGGACAACCCAGGAGAAAGCAGAGGGAGTGGAGAGGGATCTGGGAAGAGACACTGGGGCCTGGGCTCTTTGGCACCCAGACGGGCTACTCTGAGATTGAAGGGAGGGCCCTTGGGACATCTGGTGGCAGAGGGGTCAGTCCCATTGACCCAGAAAGAGAGTGGAGCTCCTAAGTCACCACGTACTCAGTGACAGAGGTAACCGAGCAGGCATCTGTGCACACAGTTAACCCAGCTGGCGTCTGCACACACGGGTGACCCAGCAGGCGTCCATGTGCGCGGGTGACCCAGCAGGCATCGGTGTACACAGGTAACCCAGCAGGCATCTGCATTTACTTAGGTTATTTAACAGCATTGACTGATGTTAACTGAATAAACGCACTCCTTTATCTAAAGCACTAAGGACCACCTTCCTTTACAGGGTGTGCTCTGGAGGTTTAAGTTCTCCCAGCTGAAGGGGTCTTCCGACGACGGGAAGGCTCGGGTGAAGCTGCTGTTTCAGAGTCTGGACACCAAGCAGATCGAGATGAAGGTAGGGACTCCATGGTGCAACCTCGCCTGGGTGAGCTGGGTGTCCGGGGCTGGGCCTGCCGTTCTCCTGGCCTGTGGAATCACCAGAATGCACGTGTGAACCCTCCTCGGAGTCAGCCAGGGTGTCATGGGAACACAGCCAGGGTGTGTCTCCTGTTAGAGGCTTTAATATCCTGAAACTGTAGTCATTGAAACCCATTACTTGATTCCATCGAAAAGCACAAGTTTCTTAGTAACTATTAGCAGGAGATCAATGCTTAAACATACAGGAGAAGTCAACATTTAAGGGAAGAGTTGTACAGACTGCATTATGTGATGACTTGTCTGTGATACTGAGGACACACTGCTCTGTAAATTCAAAGGATCTGGACATAACTTACAAGTTATGTGGAGACAGGGGCGGTGCACCCACCCGCACCCAGGTCAGAACCCAGCATCAGCCGGCCTGGGGACCCCAGCCCCGGCCACCCTGAGGCTGGATGGAGAGACCTGGAGCTGGCCGGGCGCTGCACACTCCCGTCGCCACCGCCTCTGCTGCTGGACGCAGGCTGCTGGGGGGGTGCAGGGGACCCCTGCTGCCTCCACCCGGCCGCGCGGGCCTGGCCCACGTTGCCACAGCCGCCCACACGGGGAATTTTCTGAACTCTCAGCTCGTCGTCAGTGCGGCTCGGAGCACAGCCCTGCCTGGGTCACAGAGCCCCCGAGTGGAAGACCCGGCCTGACCCCTGGCAGGCCCATCTCCACCCCACACGTGTTAGCCTTCGTATTATGAGAACCGGAAAGTGGGTATGCCCTGATCTGAGTTCCCTGAGAACAAGACACAGGAAACTGTTCCATGCACGGTTATTCCTGTTGAGTGTCACTTTTAATTGTATTTATTTGGGGCATTTTCAGAGGAAAATTATAGAGCATATTCATTTACTCTAGGTATTCATACATTTATTTAACAGTCATCTCTTGCAAATATAGCTTTGTTCAACTTCCACGTTGAATTCTTTGGAAAGGACAGTGGTTAAGGTTTCCTTTGAAATACAGTTTGTATTCACTGTGGACGGTGACTGTAGCCTTGAAATTAAAAGGTGCTTGCTCCTTGGAAGAAAAGCTGTGTCAAATCTAGATATCATATTGAAAAGCAAAGAAATCACTTTATCAACAAAGTCTGTATAATCAAAGCTGTGGTTTTTCCAGTAGTCCTATACAAATATGAGATTTGAACCATAAGAAGGATGAGTGCCAAAAAATTGGCACTTCTGAACTGTGGTGTTGGAGAACACTCTTGAGAATCCCTTGGACTGCAGGGAGATCCAACCAGTCCATTCTAAAGGAGATGAGTCCTGGGTGTTCATTGGAAGGACTGATGCTGAAGCCGAAACTCCAATACTTTGGCCACTTGGTGCAAAGAGCTGACTCATTTGAAAAGACCTTGATGCTGGGAAAGATTGGGGGCAGGAGGAGAAGGGGACAACAGAGGATGAGATGGCTGGATGGCATCACCAACTCGATGGACATGAGTTTGAGTAAACTCCGGGAGTTGGTGATGGACAGGGAGGCCTGGCGTGCTGTGGGGTCGCAAAGAGTCAGACAGGACTGAGCCACTGAACAACAACAGAATGTGAATTGCTACAGCTGAGTGGGAACTCTTCTCTTAAATGACAATAGACTTTAGAATCCCCCCTCCGGCGTCGAGCCATTAGATTACACTCAGGGAAAGCGAAGAGCCCAGGACGGCTGCCGCTCATCAGAAGTCTCAGGACAGTTTCTGACGGACATCTGCCGTGTGCAATAAGAGGGGAACACGGGCTCCGTGAAGGAGTGTGATTTCCACTGGAGGAGATTCACAGAGGCCGCGCAGGCGACGTTCACACTCATACGTTGATTGAAAGTGTCACCCTTGTGAGAGACGCGGCGTTCCCGAGAGTGAGGCTCGTGAGAGAAGGAGTGTTTCCTCAAGTTCAGGGACCTCCTTCTTTGTAGTCTGACAGCTCAGTGCAGACCCGCCCAGCTTCCTGAGAGTTTTACCTAATTAAGGAAAAGATCAAGGTATTAAAACATTCAGAGGTTGGTAATTAGATCAAGGTGCAGATCATATTTAAACCCAGTATTTCAGCCACACTGAAATGTTAAAGGAGTTTAATAACAATCTAGGTCCGTAGGATAAATGAATTGCAGAGGAGACTACCAGGGTGGCAGGGTTAGAGCAGGGGCTGAACCTGATGCTTATGCGCCCAGCTGCCAGCTCCCTGCGGGGAGCTGCCTGACCTGCAGAAGCAGCAGACACACATACACCCGCGCATGCACATGCATGCATGTGCATAGATGCATGCAACGCAGTGCACGTGTGCACACAGGCACAATATACACAGACACGTGCGCACATGCAGAGGGGCACATTTGTACACATATGTTCACACACATGCAGGTGAAGCCAGATTCCTTCTCCTAAATTGTGACGGTGAGCCCTGCTGTGTAACATCCGGGCAGGGGCCACCGTGAGCTCCTGCAGGCTTTGTGGAGGCTGAGGACCCAGCACAGATGGACTCAGGGTTCCACACAGAACACCTGAGTGCCAACCCATGTTAGTTACCAGAAATCCAGAATTCAACCCATTAGTCAGGATGTCCATGCACAAAACCCCCCAGAAAACCCGCGTGTTCGTATTGACAGCAGCCTTTCTTACTTGTGAGTATTTGTTCTTGAGTCAGTTGCTAGTGGTCCTGAGAATACAGAACCTGTAAGTGTTCTGCACTGTGCAGTTCTCATGCTCAGAGTGTGAGCATGTTGCGCTTTTCTGGCAGGAGCTGGAGTTTCAGGATCTGACGGCGGTCCTGCATTGCATCCACTCCTTCATGGCTGCGAAGGTGGCCTCGGTGGACCCCGCGTTCATGGACAGTCAGAGCATCGCCGGAAGATACATGTATAGCAGCTGAGCGGAGCTTCTGTTGAGTGCTGAAAATTAAATTATTTTCTTAAGAAATGACTATTTCCTGCACAATGTTGCCACTTGGTGTGATTTTATAATGATTCTATAGTTGTGATACCAATAAAATATGTCACTAGTTTCCAGAGACGAGTCAGCCTTGTTCACTCTGATGGGGGATGCAACCTCCGCTCAGGCAGAGCCGTGGTTGAGAACATATTTCAACTCCCCATTGAAATACTTGCATCACCCACGTTCCTCAGACTGCAAGGAGGCACCAGCAGCTCACGCTGCACCCCACACAGCTGAAACCCACACTTTATTTTCAGAAAGCATACGAGAGGAAATGCCACTTTCATTTTCCCCAAGAATGTTAAGTTTTCCTTTGAATTCCATTAATTTATCCCAGGACATCAAATGTAGTTCCTTGCATTCTACGTCAACTACAGGTGGTCACACGAAGCACAAAGTCAGAGAAAGACAAGCCTCGGATGAGATCGCTTATATGTGGAATCTTAAAAATGAATCAGATGAACTCAGTTACAGAACAGAAAGCGACTCACAGTCACCAGAGGGGAAAGGCTGGCAGGGAGGGATGAATCGGGAGTTTGAGATTCACACACACACTAATTTCTGCCTCCAGGGGATCTTCCTGACCCAGTGATCAAACCCAGTTTCTTGCACTGGAGGCAGATTCTTTACCACTGACCCCCCCTGGGAGGCCCATATACACACTAAGATGCATATTTCAAAAAGAAAACAATACAAAGATTCAGTGGTCGCTCACAGCCAACTTGGTTTCACTTGGAAAAGCCTTTTTCTCTCTGTCGCTGAGTCCCTGCTGGACACAGGGCCGTGCACACAGACGCCCGTCTCAGAAGGCCTTTCCGCCACCGTGGCCTCCTTGGACAAGGGGACACCGGGCCGTTGGGCTGCCCTGCAGGCCCACCATGGGGCAGAGGGGACCCCAGCCCCCACGGAAAGCCCAGGGAAGGCAATCAGAAAGAGAGGACTGGTGGAAACAGAATGGAAACTGCGTACAGCTCCTAACAGGCTAAGTCCTGGGATAAAACCAACCCAGCATATTTTAAAGGGAAGACTTAATTTCTTGTCCACTTGGGTTAATAAAATTCACTTTTATCATCGAAAATACATCACAAAATACATCCAAAATTGTGTTTATTTTATGTACAAGTCTTCTAACACACAAAGTATTGGTTATTTGTCATTAAGTTGAATTAAACGGAATGCACATTTTAACTCACTATTGTTGATTATGAAATAATCCATGTGCATTACAATGGGTTAAACAGTCAGAAGGAAGTAAGGACTGCATCTTACTCCACCCCTGACCCAGTGATGTGAAGAACCGTGGCCTTGTTACTCCACCATGAGACAGAAAAGGAGCCGATGCTCACAGATGCGATGGTGATACTCACTTGGAGAATAACGCTGACATAAACAGGTCTCACAGAGGCCAGAGCAGCCACGTTACACCGTGTGGTCAGGCCAGGCCCTGCGGTGAGGTGTCCCTGGGGCTGGAAGGACCACAGGGATGCAGGATGAGGATGCCTGGGAAGCCAGGTGGGGGAGCTCAGAAGGATGAGCCTGTGAGGGAGCTGGGTCCACGGACTGTGGGGACACCCGCTATGGCTCAGGGTGAGCAGGGGCCGACTGGACAGGGCGGGGCCTGGGGAGAAGGCAGCCATCCTTGTGACAGTTTCATTCGGACCAGCACCAGTGGGGCCCCCAGCTGTTGGCAGGAGCGTGGGCATCTTTGAGCCTCAGTTTCCTTGTCTGAAAATAGAAAGGAAGGCGGGGCCTCGTCAGGACATTTCGGGAGGAACACGCGGTCACACGTGTACAGTGTCACATTCTTCCTCCAGGCGCCTGGCCTGGGAAACAGGCATCCACGTTTACTCAGCACATGGTTTCTATGAATTCTCTCAACCAGGAGACTATTACTGCTTCCCAGGGAAGTTGCCCCATTTTTGCCACAAGGAAACACAAACCTGGAATACAGGGCTTCTCGCCACAGAGCCCTTTTAGCCTGGACTCCTGGATTCTAATTTCTGTCCTTTCTACAGCATTCAACCTTCATCCTTATTGTCAAGCTTCTACATTCAGAAAACTCACTTTGCAAGGTTATTAAAGATCGGTGGGTGGGGGGGGGAACTCCTGGGTTACAGAAAACACATACGCTTGTACCTAAAATCTAGAAATACTTGTGATTTGACTTTGCAGTGAATGAGAAGAATTGCGCAGTTACCATGTGCAATCTCCCCCAGAAGCCTGAGTGAGGATGTAAATTTACTTCACATTGCAGGGAAGCTAAGGATGCTTCATTGCAGGTTTGAGTTTATTCAGGCTTTTCATTGGCGAGAACCAAATATGCCCTCCACGTCACCTCTCTTCATGTCCCAGCAAGTCAGTCACTAATGACTAAGCCTAAGGGAGAACTTTTTAAAAATTCCTTTTATCTTTAACAGAATTTTAAACAGACGCTGCTTTCTAATCTCATGTCCTTGTGGCAGAAATTGTGAGCAATAGAAGTGATTCAAACGCCACCCTTACAGAGCCTTTCTGGGCCTGGACAGAGCATCCTCCTCTGCATCTGAAAGGTTGAGGGCACTGGTCCTGGTACCCTTGTGGGCACCTGGGCTCTGAGGTCACAGAGGATGTGTGATCCCGGGAGCTGGGCCCAGGTCCATCCAGCGACACCTCTGTGGACAATGCACTCTGCTCTCCCCGGAGAAGCCGACGTCACAGATGACCCCCGCCCCACTCCACCCTCCCCAGGCTCCCTGCCACTGGCCCCCAGGAGCACCCACCCCAGCCCGGCCTCGGACACAGCTGAGCCCTGCCCTGCTCCATCCTCCCAAGGTCCCCCCCAGCTGACCCCCAGGAGCACCCACTCCCGCCCGGCCTTGGAGGACATAGCTGACCCCCACCCCACTCCACTCTCCCCAGGCTCCCCCTCAGCTGGCCCCCAGGAGCACCCACCCCAGCCCGGCCTTGGACCTGCAGTGGAAGGACGCAGCTGCCACACCCACCTCTAACCTGGCCGCCAGGCTCCACTGAGGACCCATTTCTGCAGAGATGGGGACCCATTTCTGCAGAGATGGGGCTCCGAGCATCCGACTTTCAGGGTGAATTCCAGATTCCTCGGGGGCGGGAGAGGGGCTGAGGGTTGGCCGGAAGACTAAACAGCAGGAGGAAGAGGGCCCTGGAGCCCGCAACACAAAGTGGGCGTCAGGGCGAGCACCGCCCCCCAGCCCTGCACCCCCCACCAGCCCCGCAACCTCGGGCCGAGTCCACACCTGGGGTCCCACCGGCAGAGTGGGCCCGAGGGCTTTCCCAGCTAGAGCCCAGGCACAGACCACCAGCCTCACCCCAGACGAACCACTGATGTGCCCGGGCTGGCTCTGCTCACGTGGCTTGGGGGTGGCGTCAGGGCGAGCCCCCCCATGACCCAGGCAGGACCACGCCTGCAGGCGGCCACATCACCGTGGACGGGAGGGGCCCTCACGCGGCAGGGGGCAGAGCAGGTCCCTGGCACAGACCGCGTCCAAGGGTCGCGCGTGAACTGGGACTGGAGGGCCCGGGGCCGTGGGCACACACGTTTCTTCACCACGAGTCCATGTGAATCTCCTGAATGGCCCCCTTTCCTAGACTGTCTATCAGCAGTGACTGGGGCATGTCAGGAAAGTCATATAGGTTTTTGTTTATAACTCATCAAATATCAGCGCTGTTGATACACAATATAAAACAGGTCATCAGAATGTTTAATAAAGCAGAAAAACCCGAGACCCTCTCAATGTCCACTGACATCTCCAGCATTCCTTAAAGTGACTTAAATGCACGAAAGAGAGAATAAAGCTGCCCCTTCTTCCCTCTCTTTCCTGGAGGACGGTGACCTCTGTCTGCCCCCCGCCCCCTCGGGGCAGGGCTGTCTGGCTGAGCTTCCGTCAAACCCTCAGAGCCCCGGGCAGGCGTGAAGACTTAAGGCCCGGGGCTCCGTCCCTGCCTGACACGCTTGCTCAGCCCAGTGCTCTTAGAGCTGCCGGTGAGGACGAGGACGCAGTGGGGGCACACTGAGCCGGAAACCCTTGAGGGCTCAGTGGCCCGGACACTTCACCCGCCAGTGGGCACCGCACGGCTCCAGGCTCTGCAAGGGTCACGAGAGCTCAAGGACCCGCTGCACCTGGATGCGGCCCGCCGCGGTGAGGGCACAGCCACGTCAGGGCCGGCCTCCGAGGCTGTGTCACGCTGACCCCCTCTGAATGTCCACGCGGCGTCCATTGAGGACTCGGGGCCCCAGGTCTCCCCCCGGGGTCGCCCTCGGGGTCCCAGGTCTCCCCCGGGGTCGCCCTCACCCCAGGCCCTGACAGCCGTCACCAGTGGGGTCCAGGAGAGGCTCCTGGCCCATGTCTCCCTGGCCCCTCGTGTGTCAGGCAGCGGCCCCTCTGTGCCCCTGCACCCCTCAGGCAGACCCCCCAAAGCTCTGGCCAAGTGCAGCTCTGGCCCTTAGAGCCTGAGTCCAAGCTCTCCTTCAACAGTCTCCCCAGCGTCAGAACGGGGTCCCCAAGACTTTAGGTGGCAAACTCAGCCAGCTGGGGTCCCCGTTTTCAGGAAAGCAAGTCTTCGCGTCCCTGGCTCACTGACGGCAGGGCCTGGCCCTTCCTCTCACCGTCCCGGCCTGTCCCCGCTGTTTCAGGGAGAAATAACCAGAACTGTTGAGGGACACCCCACCTGCGTGTCTGACTGTGGTCCCTGCAGATGGAGCCTTCTGATCATGGCATTCCGATGCTTCAGGGACCTCCCGATGCTCAGAGGCCTTGCACATGTGTGAGCGTCTAACCTCGGCTGTCCTGCAGGAAGCATCCTCCAGGATCGAATAAGTCCCGAAGGAGATGGGTCTTCCCCGATGGTTCGGCCGGTAGAAAATCCACCTGCAACGCAGGAGACACACGAGATGCAGGGTCAATCCCCAAGTTGGGAAGGCCCCCTGGAAGAGGAGATGGCCACCCACTGCAGGATTCTTGCCTGGAGAATCCCATGGACAGAGAAGCCTGGTGGGCTATAGTCCAAAGTATGCCTCAGGCTTGAATAAGTCCTAGAAGGAGAGAGGGGGAAAGAGGAGAAAGATGATCTTCGTGTACTGAAGAGAAAAACTGCAAGACTCAGATGGGGACTGCAGAGGTTCAGAAGCTGACCCCACAATCTGGGAGACGCACTCCGTCCCCTCCTGGAAATGGGGCTGCGAGCTGGGTCATGGAGGACCATCAGCAGGGCTTCTTGGAGCGTCCGGCGCCCCTAAAGACCACGGTGCTCTTCATACAGAATTTAACGCAGAAAAGCCAGAGGGGACAGCACCAGGGTTACCAGGGCCTGTTTGACTTGGTTCCTTCTTTCCCGACACTTACGCTCTTTCCCTTTCTTTCTTATTCCACGGCCAGAGCCCCAACATCAGTGGGCCCAGGTGAGGTCGTACCTGCTCCCTGAGCCGCCAGCAGGCGGCACTCTGTGCCAACCCAGAGGCCAACGTCCAGCCGCCCCAGGGTCGGGAGCTGGTCCAGCTCGGTGACGTGGGCGGGAGGCAGAACCCAGAGCCGCTTTATAGGCGGGAGGCCAGGCCCCAGGGCAGCCGGCCGTGTCCAAGGGTCGCCTGCCCTGCACGCCTGCCTCCAGGCTGAGCAGAGGAGAAGGTCAGGCCTCGGGACTTTGTATCTCTTTTTTCTGGGAGAAATCTGTCAGGGAGACCTGCAATGTGGTCGGAGGGAGGTGGTTTGGGCTCAGGGCTCGTCTGGAGCTAGCTGGAGGAGAGACTCTGGGCAGACGATGCTAGGTTTCCTGTGATCTCAGCGCAGAAGCACGGCCGGCAGGTGCGGCCAGGAGGGTCCGCAGTCAGTGGCCCCAGACACACTCTGAGCTCCACCTGGTTTCACAAATCCTGTGGCCCGAAAATATCGGCAGAAAGCCGGAGGTTAGGAACAGATATAGGTTAGGAAAAGGGAAACATTTGATTAGGAATCTTCTGCTTTGTCTTAACAACTCTGCAATTCTGAAATAGGTTTATAAGCAGGAGAAAGAAAGCAGGAAAAAGAAACCCTATATCCATTTAGGAATTTTACTTACCTCTTTTCTAAAGGCTAAATTCCCTGTACTATTCTTTTTTTTTCACTAAGATGTGTTATAGGAAATAGATTTATCTTATTCCTAGTAATTACTCCCAGAAATTTTATACCATTCAACATCCCCATAAGTTAAAATAGGTTGTCACTGAGCTGTTCTGGGGACACGGCCACTCAAGAGCAAAGATCTGTTTTCAGACGGTCGAGCAGGCACGGCTGGTCCCTGCCTTGGCCAATCAGCCCCCAGAGTCAGACCCTGGCCGAGGGGGGCAGACAGGACGCAGGCACCACCACGCAGGGCAGCAGAGACAAGGCTCCCCGTGGGGGCGGCCTGACGCGTGCCTCCTCGCAGATGCGGGCGCGGGCCGTGCTGGGCGTGGTGCTGGCCATCACCTGCACCGGAGCTGTCTTCTCGTTCCTCCTGAGACCTGGGGGCCTCCTTTGGGGTGAGTAGCGATAAATTATGGTCTTCCGAAATCATAAAGGAACTGCTTGCATCTACCAGAGCAGAAAGCATCGTGAGTTCTCCAGAGTCAGGTAAGACAGCTTCAGTGTTTCTTTTGCTTTCCAAGAAAAGAACAATAATTCTTGAGTTTAGAAGGATTAAAAGACAATTCTTTCTGAAAAATAACTGACTTTCTTATGATTACGCAACAGAAGACGTCAATTTTACCTGCTCGTATATTTTAAAACCATTTCTTTGGGAGTCGTTGTGTTTTCCTTGACCACACAATCATTTCTCATTAAGTCACTCCTTTGTCGTATTTTCTGGAATCAGGGGGCTGCAAAGCCAAATTCAGTTGAGAAAGGTACAGCTGTGCTGTGGTTAAAATAATCACAGCTCAAACTCGGCTTTTGTTTTGGTAAAAAGAAAAGAAAAAAGTCTCAAACACAGAGAAGGGATGCTCCTGGAGCAGGACATGGGAGGGCATCTCCGGGAGGCTCTCCGGCCGCCAGCGTCTGCACCAGGGGCCTTTCCCGGCAGACTTGTCCTGCTGGGGTCATCAGGGGTGGATGCTCTGCTCCTCCAGCCCCTCCTTGGAGACCCTGGTCATCTGCAGGCCTGGTGAGCTGCCTGAGTCCCCATAGTCACCTTCAACCCCAGGGAGCCTCCTGCTGGGAGCCCCCATGTCTCCAGAATCACTGAGTACCGGCTTCGTGGCCACATGGACAGTTGCACAAAAGCCCTTTGTGGACTTAGATGCTCCTTGGGAAATCGGCCTGGCCTTTGAGGCCGAGAGGAAGCCAGGGTGCCGCTCCGTCCCTGCACATTGCTGACGGGGCCACTTTCCTGTCTGAAATGGAGAAGACTGGAAAGTTCTCTACCGCAGTCCTATTTGTGAGTGTCACTGAGACGCTCCGTACTGAGTGCATGCTGTCTGGACAACACAAACTAGAAAACACAAACGCCAACTCCATCTTAAATGTCCCCCATCCTCCAAGCCCAGTAAACCTATCACCCCAAGACCTGGCACAGGATGAGTTGCAGTAAATGCTTGTGAACTAATTGGTCATTCCATTTCACACTTATCAAAGACCTAGTTCTACAAAACCACAGTAACAAAGTCGTCACGAGCAAGATCTATTTGATAAAATACAGAAGTACCCGCACACAAGAGCTCCAGTGTGAGAAATCACGCATTTTTTAGGAACTGGGAAAGACGGTAGTTACAGCTTTGCTAGAGCAATTGTTACTATTTCTCCATCTTGAAGAGGTTTTTTCTTAAACTTTCAGCATATATATAAACAATATACAACACAGCATTTGATAAAAACACTGTACTTTGTACTAATCCATTGTTCATTAGAGTATTTCGAAGGTGACTACTTGTTTACTTTTGAAAATTACTTACTTAGAAAATATTATTAGTCATAGTGTTTAAAGTTTACAGTCTTTAATACAATGATGTTTTTTCCAATTGACAAGTCATCAGTCATTTTAAACAAAACAATTACACATTAACTCCTTATTTATTTATTTTTAATGGAAGTATACTTGATTTAGGGCTTCCCAGGTGGTGCTAGTGGTAGAGAATCTGCCTGCCAACACAGGAGATGCAAGAGACGTAGGCTCAGTCTTTGGGTCGGGAAGATCCCCTGAAGGAGGAAGTGGATCCCACTCCAGTATTCTTGGCTGTAAAACCCCACGGACAGAGGAGCCTGGCAGGCTGCAGTCTGTGGGGCCACAGAGAGTCAGACAGGGCTGAGCGACTGGGCGCATAGTTGGTTCACGAGGTTGTGTTAGTTCTGGGTGTACAGTGAGGGAATCAGTTACACGAGCATGCTAAGCCGCTCAGTCGTGCCTGATCCTCTGCGACCCCGTGAACTGGAGCCTGCCAGGCTCCTTTGTCCATGGGATTCTCCAGGCAGGAATACTGGAGTGGGCTGCCGTTTCCTCCTCCAGGGGATCTTCCCGATCCAGGGGTTGAGCCTGAGTCCCTTATGTCCCCTGCACGGGCAGGAAGCTACTTTACCCCAGTGCCGCCCAACTCAGAAGCCCATACTTACATTTGTGTGTGTGTGTATATAGAGATTCATTCTTTTTCTGATTCTTGTCCCCTCTAGGCTATTACAGAACACTGAGTATGTAGCTCCCTGTGTCACACACTAGGTCCTGGCTGGTTAGCTGCCTTTCATACTGAAGGGTTGAACTTTCTTTGACACATCGCCTTCATCAGTCACAGCCTCCATGACAAACCTCCAGCCCTCTTGTCTGAGCTGGGTTACATCACTCAGGCTCACAGACTGAGACATGAGCCGTCGGGGGCCCCCTGTCGCCGTCCAAAGCCCGCTGAGGGCACCAGGCACTAGGACCAGGCCTGGGCCACGGTGTCCGTCGGGTGTCCAGGGGGCACCCCTCAGCGTGGGGTCTCTGCTGGGTGGGCTGCTCCTCCTCTAGGGTCTTAGAGATGGCAGGGCTGTGGCCAGACTCACACCCGCCTCCCAGGGTCGCACGTGGACACCACACGCACGTGGGAATCTGGCTGATAAACACTGAGGAACAGGTGCCCTTAGACCCACATCTGGTCTGTGAACTGTGGGACTGTTTGTGTATCAAGGCTTCAAGTCCTTTCTCAAAAACTCCACACAGAGTGTTTATCATGGAAATCACATGCCTCCATCACCACATGGATCGTGGTTTGTTTCTAGGGTTTGTGCAAAGTCGAGACTGAAGTGCAAGGATGTTTACAGCAAATGTAGCTGTTAGGAGAGAATCAGATGCAAATAAACCAGGGGCAGTGGGAGCCTTGATGGAGAGAGGGGAATGGGAAGGGGTTGGGGGGGACAGGAGAGGGGGAGGGGAGGGGAAGGAAGGGAGGAAGGGGAGTGGTAACCGGGTGGAGGCCCAGAACCACCTGGTTGTCACGGCATCAAGCTGGACTCGGAAGAGAAACCCAAGGGGGCGGAGGCTTGGTGAACTTTGTGTTTGATCCTGTGATGCCTCATTCGCAGGAGAGACCGAGGAGTCTCGAGTCAGGGGCATCGTGGAGGCAAGCAGGCTCCTGGTGGACAAGTCCATCTACGCTGCGATGAGAAGGTATGGTGCCTGGGGGCGGGCGGTGGGGCGTCTGCATGGATCTGCTGATCTTCATCTTCATGACGTCCCGCATTTTACAGATTAGGAGCTGAAACTCACATGCGTTTATTCATGCTTCTAGGATCGGGTGCAAGTAACTGAGAATCTCATTCAGCCTCAAAGTTTCTCTCTTAGCCAAACAGAGCCAAAGGCAGTGACGCAGTGGGAATTCAGTATTTCCCGGTTAGAAAGGCAGAAAAGTGAGCCTGGCTCCTGGAAAATGGCCCGCAGACTGAGGGGGTAGGGGGTCCAGACACACAGGTGTAACTTTACCTAGGAATGAAATCTGCCCACCAGTCTTTTTGAGTCTTTAGGAAACACCTTACTTTTAAATAGAATCAACGTTAAGGATATTATAGTCTCACATTTGTTGTTGTTAGTTGCTAAGTCACGTCTGACTCTTTTGCAACCCCATGGACTGCATCCCGACACACTTCTCTGTCCATGGGATTTCTCAGGCAAGAATCCTGGAGTGGGCTGCCATTTCCTCTCCAAGCACAACAAACAAAAATCTAAAACGCAGGTTTTATCTTCACAAGTGTGCTATTTTGTTGGAAACTAAGCAATAATTATATAAGCTCTCAAGACACAAAATATCACAAGGCAGTGGTTGATTTATTTCAAAATTTCTATTATTCACACCAGAAAAAGCCTCTATTGTCCATATTAGCTGCAACCAAGTTTATTTTATAAAAATTTGAATCAAAGGGGAAAGAAAGAGAAAAGATATTTCCCATGAAGTCAGACTATGTTAGCATGTCCACAACCGTGGTGTCAGCTATGCATGAAGACGGGGCAAGGACACCTCCACGGGTTGCAAAGGACTGCCCCTGCCTGTCCCTAGGTGACCTGCCTTCTCACGAGGGGGAACTCACTGCTAACACACAGAGTTCACAGAGTTTGTGGTCTGGGGGTTTTGTGTTAAATGCAAATATTGGAACAAAGGCTGCTTGCTTACTATGCTAACAGTGGATTTTAGTAACAGCAGAAGAAAAGCGCTAGAAACCTTGAAAACAGGCTGCCCCACTGAAACCAGAGCCCCCGGACAGCTGAGTCCCAGGCCTGTGGCGGCACCGAGCCGAGCCGCTCCGCTGAGAGCGTGCATCCCGAGGGGTCACAGCCTCTGTGCCTCGGGGACTGGGGCCACGAGGGCCGCTGGCTCTCAGAGCCCCTCCCAGTGGTGGGAACCCACTCGTCCAACCGGATTTTTTTCAAGTTACATAACTTACTTATTCACAGTGATATCCTCAGAAAGATTAATTAGTGCTTAAAATAGCCTCATGTGCGTGCGTGTGAAGTTGCTTCGGTGTTGTCTGACTCTGTGACACTGTGGGCGGTAGCCTGCCAGGCTCCTCTGTCCATGAAATTTCCCAGGCCTGAATTCTGGCGTGGGTTGCCATACCCTGCTTCAGGGGCTCTTCCTGACCCAGGGATTGAACCCATGTCTCTTGCATCTCCTGGACTGGCAGGCAGGTTCTTTACCAGAAGCCCTTAAAATATCCTTAAATAACACTAAACACCACTATTTCACAGTAGGCTAGAAAAATTATCCAGATAAAATGTGAGATCACCTTATCGAAACAAAAAATGAAAGTCTACTACAAGGAATAATGTGAATCAATGGCAGACACACACAGGTGAGCCACTGTCAAAAAGTGTTCTAAGCAACAGAATCTCTGTCTCCATGGTGATGCACAGTGAATGGACAGGTGATGAGCAAGTCCGTTTACTACCTGGATTTTGACGAGCAGGCCGACCCCACACAGCGGTGACAAGGATTAAGTGAGCTTGCTTGTGCAAGTCTGTCTGTCTCTTCGCCTTCCCGCAGACTGTCTGCACGCGGGTCCTGGCCCTTCACTGAATCCCTGGTCCTCGTGGGTGCGGTCCCTGAACCCCACCTGCCTGTCGCTTCTGATTCAGGTTCACATGACTGATTGTTAAGTGGTCACCAAACACCACAAAAGAACAGCTGACTTCACATCTCCGCTTTGTGGGCTCCCCAGGTGGCGCTAGTGGTCAGGAACCCTCCTGCCAGTACAGGAGACGTAAAGAGATGTGGGTTCAATCCCTGGGTCGGGGAGATCCGCTGGAGGCACCCCACTCCAGCATTCTTGCCTGGAGAAGCCCAGGGACAGAGGAGCCTGGCAGGCTACCATCCCTGGGGTCACAGAGAGCCGGACACGACTGAAGCGAATTACCACATACGTGCTCACTCCTCTTTGTGCCTAGAAACCTCCACAAAAGGGAAGTTATTTCCCCATCGCAACTTCTGTCCTTTTCCAAACTCCCTGAGCCCACGAGCCGTGCTGCGTCCCGGGCGGCGGAGGTCATGGAGGCCTCAGTGCAGGAGGTGGTGAGACGGGGTCACCTGAGGTCTGGACAGTCCCAGCTGCCCACAGGTGAGTGCCCGGGGGGCAGGGCTGAGCGCAGGGAGGTGGGGAGGGTCCTAGCAGGGCGCAAGGCCTGTGCCCCCGATGGCTCACGGGACAAGCGAGCAGTGCTTGAGACGCTGGTCAAGAGCCACGACGTCCTGGCTTTGCTGGGTGGGAAATCACTGTTTCTCTGCCGTCCAGGCTGAGTTTGGAGAGCCAGCTGAACAATCTCAGTGTCCTGCTCTATGGTCTGAAATAACTGGAAGTTTCTTCCAAGGCCCCCACCAGCCCGGTTAAAACTTGGGGAAACAAGTTTCTGGGGGAGGCAGCGTGGTCCAGGGAGAATAGGACAGCCACCCCACTTCTGAGCAGACTGCCTCTGGGGACGTGCCGGGGTCTCGGGACGAACGTGCTCCCCCTGAAATGAGCAGTCGCCGTTGTGGTCCACTCAGCTGGACGCCGGCAGACCAGTAAACCGGGGGCTGCGTCCCACCAAGGACTCTGCTGACTTAAGAATCCGAGTGGCGTTTAAGTGGAATTCCATTCCACTTCAGAATGGAAGTGCTTTAGAATGTGAGGTACATCGGTGAGCCCTAGGACGAGGAACTGAAAAAACACTATCAGTTCCAGTGAACTTCTGCAGACTTCTCCAGTGTGGTGCCATGAGCCGCTTAGTCACTGAGTCTTTCCTCCCAACTAGCTGTAGGTTAGTTTAATGTTGATTTACTTTAGAATGAGACAGACTCAGCTAAATTGAGGTTAACCAGAATTCTCAGACACTGGGCTTAACACTTCAATTTAACCAACTTTATAGCAACCAAGGACCCGTTTGAAAATGTTTTCGTTGAAGCAGTTGAAAACCATTTCTAAGGACTGTTGGTCCGCGGTCCTGTCATGTGGCGACGGCTGTGGCCATAAATCCTCTGGCCTTGTGTTCACGCCATAGAGTCGCAAAGCCATTGCCCGGGTCTGTGGGTGCAGCTGTTTGTGGAGCTTCAGTGGATGGGTTCAGCCCAGGCCAAGGTGCAAAACTTAAGACCCCTGTAATCTAGGCTGTATATTGTTACTCCCATCATCAGCGTAGTCTAGAAAATTCAGAATGTTAACACCAGTGACAGGATCCAGATGCCCCCTACCACCCCATCCCCAGTCGGCATCTACAATCGAACGTTGGCACCCTCCCTCCTGGGTGCGTCTTAGTGTTGGTTTTGTATTGATGCAGCTACAAGCATGGTCCTTCTCATGGACTTCGTTTGTTAAACTCTTGCGTGTGCTTGAGCATCTCCTGGTATGGAGCATTTTTGCCCGTTTTGTTCAGGAATGCCTATTTCTCCATCAGCTGAACAAAATCATGGCCTAAGCTTTATTCAGCTGTCCACAGAGTTTATTCAGTTGTCCACAGAGGTTGCACAGGGAACATTAATAACTGAGAGGTGTTTGTTCCTCCTCCCTTTGAAATCGGGATGCATGCCTCCCGGTGCTTTGCTGGTGAGTATCTCGTTTCCTTGGTGTCTGGTCAGTTTTATGGTATTGTCTTTGAAGATTTATATGAACCATCTTGGAGAAACAACGATTTCTTCAACTACTAGTTCTTGCTTGTATTTGTCACAAATAGCAACAGAATTGGCAAAAAAACCCAGAATAGATTGTCTTCTGGGGCCCTAAAACTAGGAAGGTTTATAAGTAGGACCCAACATCAACATGAAGGGAAAAAGGAGGGTTTTGTAGAGGGACACTGGGGCGTTGCTAGGGAGCATCTGAGTCGGGGTGGGGGCTGATCAAGGCCATGCAGTCAGTGTCTTCTGGGCCTGGGGTGGCGGCAAACCCGGGGTTCTACATCCAGGCTCCCAGTGCTCATCTCTGGGGCCAGAGTGCTCAGAATTGCTTTTCTGAAAGAGCACAAAGCAAAGATAAACTTTTAAACCCCAGGTTCCTAGCAATCAGGACACTCAAGAAGGGTAAATAAGAAAGGGTTGATTTCAAGGAGAACGAAGGGCTTCCCACCAAGACGGACAAAGTCTCCGTGTGAATCCTGCCGGCAGGGGTGGGGGCCAGGTTAGGACAGTCACTGGGCAGGCAGGCTGTCCTCTCCGCAGAGGGCTGATGCCACGGGGCCTTCCCTCAGATGCTCTCTCGGAGGGGCTGCTGAGCGCGATCGCGAACCTGTCCGGATGCCTGCCTCACATGCTGCCACCCAGATGTCCGGACACCTGCCTGGCCAGCAAGTACAGGCTCATCACGGGCGCCTGCAACAACAGGTACTTCCCGGGGTCCTCATCTCACCTGCAAATTGTATTTGAACGTGACAGTTGCCATCAGGAGGGACTGTCCCTGGATCATCTGAGATTTTGTTAAAGAACGCGCCTAATACTGACTCTACACAGTGATAAGAAGCGGTCCAGCCTCTCCCTTACACCCACGTCCCCAACACTCCTGTGTGTGTCTTCAGTAAGACACAGGTCTCAAAGGTCTTCAGCTCCCCGTAGACAGGAACCACTTTCACCAGGATGTTAGTTGTAAAGCTCCCCGGCTTCCCTGGGGTCACCCCAGTTTTCTTCCATCTCTTTCTCTGCATGTCTGCCGTCCACTCTCGGCTCGCTCCGTCCGGAGGTCAGTCCATTTAGGCAGCGCCCAGGTGTCCCAGGTGACCCCTCTGCCTCCAGGCCCTTGCACCGTGAGCCCCACGGCCCGGTTCCAGGGAGACTGTACCTGCAGACAGGTATGGAGTTGCAGATGGCAGGACCAGGCCCCCAATCTCCTCTGCCCAGGGCTGCACTCTCTGCTGTCACCCCGACCCCGACAAGGGGGCAGCCCAGCCTCCCTGCTGGTGGGCCTGAGTGGACGTGCCCTCCAGGGAAACGTGGGTGAAGATAAGTCTCTCTCCTTCCACGGCGACAACTGTATCTTGCGTCTCAGTATTTACAGTAACCAGATCCAAGGACCAACAGGAACGTCACACTTCTTCTTCCGCCCAAATCATAAAACACCTGCCCAGAGACCTGGAGGGCCAGCGCCTTGAAGCCGGGTTTGTTGTCTTATAAATGAGCCGCTGGGCCACTAGGCTGAGGGTCAGCCCCAAGGTTGCTGGCTCTCTGCAGGCTCAGCCCTGCCCGCTCCAAATGAAAGCGTTCCCACATCCAGTTCTTATCAGAAGAGGCCCAGAGACTGTCAGGCTCCTGGTGCCCAGGAGTGAGGAGCTGATGCTCAGACAGATCCCAGGAAGGGGGGACACCTGTTTCCCTCTGAAACTCCCCTTCAGAGACGTCTCCCCCGCTGGTTGTCAGCTCCGCGACCATTCCCAGCAAGGTCACTAATGCAGAACTACTAAAGGAACCACGTGCTGGGGAAGTTGACCCTCTGGGGACTGGGTTATCCCGCCCCAGCCAAGCAGCTTCCAAGAGCGGGGCCAGGAGCCTGGGGGGGCCCAACCCAGGGGCCCCACATGGCACCCCGGGTCCTGCCCAGGAGGCTGGGATCTGACCCCAGAGTGAGACGGTCACGGAGACCTCCGGCCCTCCCAGGAGCTGCTGAAACCCAACAGTCAGTCAGCAAAAACCCTGATGCCTGAGCAGTTAGGTAAACACTCGCATGATTCTTGAGTCAAAGAGCAGCGTTTTACGGGATTTCAATAAAGACTGGCCGCTAACCGATCAGAACACCGCGTGAAGGCTGACTCACTGCAGCTGATGAAACGCAGCCCTAAACCGAACCCCTTCAGTGGTGCTGGAGAGCAGCAGAGTGTTGATGCTAGAGTTCATGCCCATTCCCTGTCCTTCAGACAGAAGGGAGCGCCCCCACCTTCTGCTGCTCATCACTCCTGAGAGCTGGGCTAGGCGGGAGTCTCGGGAGAAAGGAAGCGCCTTGCTTCCAGGCTCAGGAGCCACAGACGGCCCTGCCTCAAACAAGCGCTTAGAGACGGTCACAGTCCTCAGCGCACGGCTCCTCTCCCTCTCAGGCAGGACACCAAACAAGTCGCATTCACATAGGAACAATGGGTGGGTGTTACAGTCCTTTGGTAGTAAGTTAGTGTCAAAACCACTAATTTTTAATTAATTAATTTTAATTGGAGGCTGATTACTGTATTGTGGTTTTTGCCATACACTGACATGAATCAGACATGGGTGACCACCCTCCCACCTCCCTCCACATCCCATCCCTCTGGGTCATCCTAGTGCACCAGCCCTAAGCACCCTGTCTCATGCATTGAACTTGGACTGGTGATCTATTTCACATACGGTAATATGCATGTTTCAATGGTATCCTCTCAAATCACCCTACCCTTGCCTTCTCCTGGAGTCCAAAAGTCTGTTCTTTACATCTGTGTCTCTGTTGCTGTCTCGCATGTAGGGTCATTGTTACCATCTTTCTGAATTCCATATATATGTGTGAGTATTAATATACTGTATTGGTGCTTTTCTTTCTGACTTACTTCACTTTGTATAATAGGCTCCAGTTTCATCCACCTCATTAGAACTGATTCAAGTGTATTGTTTTTAATGGCTAGGTAATATTCCATGGTGTATATGTACCACAACTTTCTTATCCATTCGTCTGCCAGTGGACATCTAGGTTGCTTCCATGTCCTGGCTATTATAAACAGTGCTGCAATGAACACTGGGGTACACGTGTCTCTTTCAATTCTGAAAACCACTGATTTTTCAATATTTATGTTTACAAATACTTTAAAAACCCTTAGCAGCTTGCCCCAATTCTTGTAGACTTCACTGCCTACATGTTCTAAGTGCCTACACGTCAGATGCAGGAAAGAAGCTTGGAAGTCTAGATCCTGGTCTTCTCTGACTCAAGTGGCTCTGCCGCGTGACCTCAGAGAGCCCGGCACAGTTGTCTCCTGTTCACCCACAAACTCCAGCCTCACTCCTGTCTTTTTGGAAAACTCTGTAACCACCAAACACCCCAACGGCTATTACTGCCATAGGGCTGTGTTGATAAAGACCGAGGGACCTTGGATACCACAATTTTGAACCCAAAAATCCATTTTTATAGAACAGAGCAAATTTTTCTCTAACAGAAAACTCCCATATTTTTCTTTTCTCTTTGAACAAACATTTCCATTCTAATTTGTCTGATTTTTTCCCTACACGTAGGATACTCTATAATGAAAAGTGTTTTATTTTCTCCTTTATTTTTACATATGTTCTGTAGGTATTTTATCCTTATATTTTGTAAATGTTTTTATTTGTGTGTTTATTTTATATGTTTACATATTTGATCACCTATGTATAGATTTACTATTCATATCTAATTTGCTCCAGGACCAGTTACCAATCATTAGTCTCTCATCTTCTCGTTGTGAGAAACATTTCTGGGACATATTGATTCTTCAGCTCAGTTCAGTCACTCGGTCATGTCTGACTCTGCGACCCCATGAACTGCAGCACGCCAGGCCTCCCTGTCCATCACCAGCTCCCGGAATTTACCCAAACCCATGTCTATCAAGTCAGTGATGCCATCCAACCATCTCATCCTCTGTTGTTCCCTTCTCTTCCCGCCTTCAATCTTTCCCAGCATCACAGTCTTTTCAAATGAGTCAGTTCTTCGCATCAGGTGGCCAAAGTACTGGAGTTTCAGCCTCAGCATCAGTCCTTCCAATGAACACCCAGGACTGATCTCCTTTAGGATGGACTGGTTGGATCTCCTTGCAGTCCAAGGGACTCTCAAGAGTCTTCTCCAACACCACAGTTCAAAAGCATCAATTCTTCGGCACTCAGCTTTCTTTTTTTTTTTTTTTTAAAATTTATTTATTTATTTATTTATTTTTTTATCACAACCATAGTGTATCTTTTTTTTTTTTTTTACATGTATTCCCCATCCCGGTCCCCCCTCCCACCTCCCTCTCCACCCAATCCCTCTGGGTCTTCCCAGTGCACCAGGCCCGAGCACTTGTCTCATGCACCCAACCTGGGCTGGTGAACTGTTTCACCCTAGATAATATACGTGTTTCAATGCTGTTCTCTTGAAACATCCCACCCTCGCCTTCTCCCAGAGTCCACAAGTCTGTTCTATACATAGGAGTCTCTTTTTCTGTTTTGCACATAGGGTTATCATTACCATCTTTCTAAATTCCATATATATGTGTTAGTATACTGTAATGGTCTTTATCTTTCTGGCTTACTTAGCTCTGTATAATGGGCTCCAGTTTCATCCATCTCATTAGAACTGATTCAAATGAATTCTTTTTAATGGCTGAGTAATATTCCATGGTGTATATGTACCACAGCTTCCTCATCCATTCGTCTGCTGATGGGCATCTAGGTTGCTTCCATGTCCTGGCTATTATAAACAGTGCTGCGATGAACACTGGGGTACACGTGTCTCTTTCAGATCTGGTTTCCTCGGTGTGTATGCCCAGAAGTGGGATTGCTGGGTCATATGGCAGTTCTATTTCCAGCTTTTTAAGAAATCTCCACACTGTTTTCCATAGTGGCTGTACTAATTTGCATTCCCACCAACAGTGTAAGAGGGTTCCCTTTTCTCCGCACCCTCTCCAGCATTTATTGCTTGTAGACTTTTGGATAGCAGCCATCCTGACTGGTGTGTAATGGTACCTCATTGTGGTTTTGATTTGCATTTCTCTGATAATGAGTGATGTTGAGCATCTTTTCATGTGTTTGTTAGCCATCTGTATGTCTTCCTTGGAGAAATGTCTGTTCAGTTCTTTGGCCCATTTTTTGATTGGGTCATTTATTTTTCTGGAGTTGAGCTGGAGCAGTTGCTTGTATATTTTTGAGATTAATCCTTTGTCTGTTGCTTCGTTTGCTATTATTTTCTCCCAGTCTGAGGGCTGTCTTTTCACCTTGCTTATAGTTTCCTTTGTTGTGCAAAAGCTTTTAAGTTTCATTAGGTCCCATTTGTTTATTTTTGCATTTATTTCTAAAATTCTGGGATGTGGGTCATAGAGGATCCTGCTGTGATTTATGTCGGAGAGTGTTTTGCCTATGTTCTCCTCTAGGAGTTTTATAGTTTCTGGTCTTACATTTAGATCTTTAATCCATCTTGAGTTTATTTTTGTGTATGGTGTTAGAAAGTGTTCTAGTTTCATTCTTTTACAGGTGGTTGACCAGTTTTCCCAGCACCACTTGTTAAAGAGGTTGTCTTTTTTCCATTGTATATCCACTCAGCTTTCTTTATAGTCCAACTCTCACATCCATACATGACTACTGGAAAAACTATAGCTTTGACTAGATGGACCTCTGTTGGCAAAGTAACATCTCTGCTTTTTTAAAATGCTATCTAGTTTGGTCATAGCTTTCCTTCCAAGGAGCAAGCATCTTTTAATTTCGTGGCTGCAAGTCACCATTGCAGTGATTTTGGAGCCCAAGAAAATAAAGTATGTCACTGTTTCCATCGTTTCCTCATCTATTTGCCATGAAGTGATGGGACTGGATGCCACAATCTTAGTTTTCTGAATGTCGAGTTTTAAGCCAGCTTTTTCACTTTCCTCTTTCACTTTCATCAAGAGACTCTTTAGTTCTTCTTCACTTTCTGCCATAACGATGCTGTCATCTGCGTATCTGAGGTTATTGATATTCCTCCTGGCAATCTTGATTCCAACTTGTGCTTCATCCAGCCCAGTGTTTCTCATGATGTACTCTGCATATAAGTTAAATAAGCAGGGTGACAATATACAGCCTTGACATGCTCCTTTCCCAATTTGGAACCAGTCTGTTGTTTCACGTCCAGTTTTAACTGTTGCTTCTTGACCTGCATACAGATTTCTCAGGAGGCAGGTCAGGTGGTCTGGTATTCCCAGCTGTTTAAAGAACTTTCCAGATGTGATCCACCCAGTCAAAGGCTTTAGCGTAGTCAATAAAGCAGATTTTTTTTTTGGAACTCTCTTCCTTTTTGATGTTCTAATGGGTGTTGGCAATTTGATCTCTGGTTCTTTGCCTTTTCTAAACCTAGCTTGAACATCTGGAAGTTCATAGTTCACGTACTGTAGAAGCCCGCTTGGAGAATTTTGAGCATTACTTTGCTAGTGTGTGATGAATGCAATTGTACAGTAGTTTGAACACTCTTTGGCATTGCCTTTCTTTGGGATTGGAATGAAAACTGACCTTTTCCAGTTTGATTGATTCTTATTAATACCTTAATGTTAATATTGATTCTTCTTAATACCTTTCTCCTTGAGGCATCTTCATGACACAAAAGGAAGGCTCAAAAGTCATCTGTAAAATCACAATGACATTAGGCAGAAGTCTGCCTGAACAGGAACTTTATATTTTTGTCAATAAATCTTGACCAGTAGAACAAAACTGCAGATCCGTCTGTTTAAGGAAAACATTCCCATCTTCCTCTTTGGCTGAGTCCATCTCATTGTCTGATCTGCCAAGTGACACTTCGTCTCTCTCAGACAAGGGCTGACTTACTTTTAATTCAAATAAATGTATGAATACAGCCGTCTCGCTTCTGAACTGAGAACTTCAGGAAGTCAGCGACCTCACTTTCTAGCAGAAACTTTGCCCTCCAGGTAAACACGGGTGCAGGAAAGGGCAGCTGCCGAGGCGGCTGCAGGGCGTCCGGAGGGAGGGTGCTCGGAGGAGCAGGACTCGAGCTCGCCTTTGCGCGGAGCCCCGGGGGGGTGCCTGTGGCGCGTCCTGCGCTCAGGGATGAGAGGCAGCCTCGGAGGAAAAGCGGAAGCTGGGCGGAGCAGGTGCCAGCACACGCATGCGCAGCCCGCTTCAGTTCAGGCGCTGGGCGAGGGCCGCGTGCGGCTGCCGTGAAGTCAGTTCTCGCGAGACCACCGCTCCGCGCATCCCCCGAGCATCTCGGCAGCGCAGGGCATGCGGCCCCGCTGGGCCAGAGGCTTCACCTCCGGTCACCCCGAGGGAGCAGCTGGACCACGTGCCTTCGCCCAGAGGCCGTGCCGCCAGGTCACAGCACCGGCCCGTCGCTGCCCCCCTCCGCCCCCTGGACTGCCAACACAGCTCGCGCCCTTGTCTCCACAGAGACCACCCCCGCTGGGGAGCCGCCAACACGGCGCTGGCCAGATGGCTGCCCCCCGCCTACGAGGACGGCATCAGCGAGCCCCGAGGCTGGAGCCCCCACTACCTGTACAACGGCTTTCCCCTGCCCCCGGTCAGTGCTGCTGGAGCAGGGCTGCAAGGAGTCTCAGAACGCGGCAAACCCCCTCCCCTGGGGGGGCTCAGCCGCGGAGGAGACTTGCTCCGCAGGGCGGGCCCCTGCGGGTGCCCCTGTTGGAGTGGGGGGAGGGTGGGCACTTCCCTTGTACCCTGGGAACTGCGGCTCTGACTAGCCAGAGAGGAGACCAACGCAGAGTCAAGTTACAAGTAGACGGAAAACTAGGCACGTTCAGAGACGCTTATAATTGATGAATTCACTCATTTATGCAAAGATGGCGATTTCTACCTACTCCCAGAGGCAAATCATTTGTCAAACTCATACCTAATCTGCTGATCCCTTGGGTCCAAAAATGGGTCATCGGTCCCCAGTCTGACTGATTGCTTGGATGAATAAAGCAGTGGATGGTTTCCACATTCCTTGGCTCATGGGCCCCCATGCCGGCAAGGCTGCATCTCTGTACCTTTGCTCCAAAGTCGCATCTCCTGTGAGTCAGGGAAGGGTCTCAGGTTTTAAGGACCCATGTGGTTAAATCACATCCCCCCTGGAATCTAGGCTCGCCCCCAGCTCCAGGTCCTTACAGTCACCAAGTCTGCCAAGTCCCTGTAGCCATGTGATGTTGCCACGGGCTCCAGGGATGCAGCCATGGACGTCTCTGGGGGCCATCACCCTGCTACCAGTCCACCCTCGGACCCCAGAAATGTCAGACCCAATCCATGTGCAAAACCCACCTACCTCATTCCAAGGCCCCCATCATCTCAGCCATCACAGCATCAACTCAGAATCCCAAATCTGATCTAACTCTCACCGTTTTCAGAGTCCCAAATCTCATCCTCTGAGTAATCTGAATCAGGGCTGGGGAAGCTCTGGGTGCGACCCCTCCTGGGGCAGAGCCTCCCTCCTTTGGGACCTGAGAAACCAGAAAGGAAGTCTGGCCCCAAAATGCAGTAGTGGGGCAAGCACAGGATAGCAGGTGTACACGTACGGGGTCACAAACAGAAAAGTGGAAAGAGGAAGCCATCGACACCAAACAGGTCTGAGCTCGGGCCAGGCAAACACCACGGGCTTCAATGCGAGGGAGCAGCCCTCTCCCTCACCCCCGGGCACCAGGCACCCCCTCTCAGCCAGGGACTATCTGGAGCTAATCCCTGGGGGATTCAGTTTAATGTCCACACCACTGCCGGAAGATGGACATTTTGTATTTTATTTACAAATGAAGAAACCAGTCGCTCAGTCGTGTCCAACTCTTTGTGACCCCATGGACTGCGGCATGCCAGGTCTCCCTGTCCATCACCAACTCCCAGAGTTTACTCCCATGTCTATCCAGTCAGTGGTGCCATCCAACCATCTCATCCTCCATCGTCCCCTTCTCCTCCTGCTCTCTTGGCCCCAAATCAGCACAGAGTGATGAATCTCGAGGAGGACAGTCGGGGGTCTCCAGGGCCCTAAGCGCGGCGTGGAGCCCCTGAGACACAGGCTCGCCCTTGCCCCCTCACTGCCAGGTGCCGGCTTCTGCACACCCGCGGGCAGGTGGCTCCCGCATGTGACGGCTGGTCTGCCCCTCCAGGTCCGGGAGGTGACCCGACGCGTCCTACACGCCTCCAATGAGGCTGTGACGGACGACGACCAGTACTCTGACCTCCTGACGGCGTGGGGCCAGTACATCGACCACGACATCGCCTTCACACCGCAGAGCACGGGCCCCTCTGCCCCCGGGGTGGGGGCTGACTGCCAGCTGACCTGCAAGCCCCAAAGCCCATGCTTTCCCATACAGGTAGGATTTCTGAACGTTCCTCACTTTATTATGAAACTAACAGATACCACGTTAAAATTTCAAACACGGGTCACTCTTTGTACTGTTCCCAGATAGGGGGGGCGGGTGTTTACGGCTGTGATGAATTTCCTGTGTTTTCTGCCAGAAAGTATCTGCACATGTATGGGTATGAAATTATCTGTATGGGCATTTCCTGGTGGTCCAGAGGCTAGAGTGCCAGTTCAGTCCTTGGTGGGGGAACTGAGACCCCACAAAGCCAAAAAAAGAAAAAGAAATTAAAATTATCTGTATGTGTGTGTTTATACCTTATTTGGTGTCTCAGTGGTAAAGGATCCACCTGCCAATGCAGGAGACACAGGTTTGATCCCAGGTCAGGAGGATCCCCTGGAGAAGGAAATGGCAACCCACTCCACTATTCTCGCCTGGAGAATCCCATGGACAGGGGGCCTGGCGGGTTACGGTCCATGGGGCCGCAAAGAGTCAGACACGACTGAGCATGCACACACACCTTCCATACATCTGTTGTGTCCTACTGTGTGCATGATGTGAACACGGCGTGAGCCGCTTACTAATAAACCTTACACACGGCTCCACATCATCAAATGGACAGAAAGTGGGCTGTTAAATGACCCTCATCACCCAACTGTGCTCAAATTACAACTTATTTAACCAGTTCCGCTTGTTGGTGAGCATTGGGGTAGGTTGCTTCCCGCTTTGTGGCTATTGTCAGCTGTCACACGTAGCCAAGCAGAGAACAGCCCTGCCCGGATCCTCAGCACACCTGCCTTCCTAACAGACCCCTGGGATTCAACTGCTAGCTTTCAGGCAGGAGCCTAGGAACTTCTGACAGAGCTAGCAGAACCGCTCTCTGTTAATATTCTTCTGGTTTCCCCCCTGCCTGCAAGGAAGGAGATGTACAGGTAGGGTTTTTACTGTACTTCTCCTACAGTGACTTCTAAGAAAGAATCTCCGAGCCTGGCAAGGGACATTTCCTACCCTTGAGCAAAGAATGCGTGGGCTGGGAGTACTCACTCACATTTACTCCATAAACCTTAGTTCAGCAGCGATTCCCCACTAGGAGCTCTGAGCTAGGAAGGGCTGGAGAGACGCGGGCCCCACCCAGGAGGAGCTTCCTGGTTGGGGGAGAGGCAAGGAGAGCCAGCAGATGGGGTGCTCCCCAAGCCTCACACCCACACTGCTGGAATCCTCAGGGGTGTCCCCCCAGGCGGGGCAAAACCAGAGGAAAGTTTGGGGCAGCGGGCGTGTGCGCAGCTGCGAGTCAGTCAGATCCCCCTGACCTGGGGGAGGGCTGCGTGCAGGCTGGCACAGAAAGGCCGATGCCGGCGGGTCTGGGCAGCCCGAGCGCCTAGCGCCTCTGGGGAGGGACCCGGGATGCGCTAACCCGACTCCCGCTCTCCCAGCTCCCGGCGAACGCTGCGGGCCCCGTCTGTCTGCCCTTTTACCGCTCCACGGCCGCCTGCGGCACCGGGACCCAAGGCGCCTTGTTCGGCAACCTGTCTTCCGCCAACCCGCGCCAGCAGATGAACGGGCTGACCTCGTTCCTGGACGCGTCCACCGTGTACGGCAGCTCCGCGGCCTCGGAGCTGCGGCTGCGGAACTGGACCAGCGCCGAGGGGCTGCTGCGCGTCAATGCGCGCTACCGGGACGCGGGACGCGCCTTCCTGCCCTTTGCGCCACCGTCCGCGCCCCGCGCTTGCGCGCCCCAGCCCGGCGCCCCCAGAACCCGCGCACCTTGCTTCCTGGCCGGCGACAGCCGCGCCAGCGAGGTTCCCGCCCTGACAGCCCTGCACACGCTGTGGCTGCGGGAGCACAACCGCCTGGCCGCGGCGCTCAAGGCCCTCAACGCGCACTGGAGCGCGGACACCGCCTACCAGGAGGCGCGCAAGGTGGTGGGTGCGCTGCACCAGGTGCGCGGGGGCCTTGTGAACGCCGCGCCTGGGTGCGCGCGGGGCTGCATGGGCCCCGGGGCGAGATTTATACCCCCCCCCCAATTCTGAAACACTAAGGCCCTGGCGGCCCCGTGTAAGCCCCGCATCCCTTGGAAGGACGGTTATCCCTCTGGCGGTGATCGTTCCGCAGGAGACCGCGGCCGCCGCAGCTGCAGTAATGCACGGCCCACCGGTGCTCCCCAGATGCCAAGACCATTCTAAGTGCTCCGGGGGTTTTAACTCATTTAATCCTCGTGGAAACCCTTTGAGAGGGATTCCCCAGTTACTGTGATTTATTTTGGAGACAATGGAGAAAATAAAAAGGGAAAGCAATCTGAATGAGATTCACAAATTAGCAAAAAGATGATTATGATATTTTAAACCTCAAATCAGAAGATATTGAATGGAGTGCCAAGTTGGCCATTCTCAGTTGAGTGATGTTGGAAAAATTACTTGCACCGGACAGACACCATTCCTGAGTCCACAGGTCTCACGGGGCTGATGGAGGGCCTTGTTTTAAGTCGGTGGTGTCCACTCCGCAGTCTCTCATGTGGGCGCTCCTGCAGCAGACCCTGGACAGCAGCCCTTTAACCCCTCCGTGACCCTGTAGATTCTGTGTTACAAAGGAGGAAGGCGGGTCTTGTCCAGGTCCACATGGCGACCTCGAGATGAGACGGGCCTGCTCCTTGTCCACCTTTGGTCCGGGGAAGCCCAGGCACCGAGGGGTCAGAGCAGAGGCCGCTGAGCCCTGCTGGGCCAGGCCTGCTCAGAGGGCGTCTGGGACTGTCTCTGACCCAACTCCACAAAGGCCGAGAACTCGGGAATTTATTTGGAACAGACAGAGTTCCTGTCTCCTCCCCCCCTGCCAGGTGGCATGACCCCCAAAGACAACTCTGGGGTGCGGCGGCCCCCAGGCTTGTGCAGGAAGAAGCCCCTCCCCGTGGCCCAGGCTGGGACCCTGTGTCGGGCCGGGCTCCCACCAGCTCTCCTTTGTCCGCAGATCATCACACTGCGCGATTACACCCCCAGAATCCTGGGCCCCGAGGCCTTTGGGCGGCATGTGGGCCCCTACAGGGGCTACGACCCCAGCGTGGACCCCACCGTCTCCAACGTGTTCTCCACGGCCGCCTTCCGCTTCGGCCACGCCACCATCCACCCGCTGGTGCGGCGGCTGGACGCCGGCTTCCAGGAGAGCCCGGGGCCCCGCCTGCTGCTGAGGGACGCCTTCTTCCGGCCCTGGCGGCTCCTCGAGGAAGGTGGGCGCTCCTGGCCCACCCTCGAGAAGAGGGGCCGGGTGGCATCTTGCCTGCTGGCTAGACGCCCTGGAGAGAAGCAGCACAGCCAGAGTGCTTCTTAAATGGCAAACCCTGTTCTTCAGACTCTCTCCGGTGTTCGGGTTTCCAGAACTCCCAGGCAGGGCCCTGGGCGCCTTCAGCTGTCTGGGCTTCCTTCACTGGTCTGCACTTTAGACTCAGTGAGCGCTCCCTTCTGCTGTAATGTTTCTGTGGCTCAGAAACGACCACAACCACCCTGCCCGAGCCGCCAACTGGTCCCTTCCGATGCACATCGTGGTCAGACTGCTGGGGTCCAGAAGGGGGACTCCATCATAAGGCAGCACCCTAAGGGCTGGGAGACTTGGGGATCCCTGGTGGGGGGTGGTTCCTGAGCTCATGAGAGATGTTTGTTCCGAAGCAACCGACTTTGCCATCGAGGCCTGTTCTGTTTCCCAGGACTCAGCTGAGGGTGCACCTTTCTTCTCTGCTACCTCCAGGTGGCGTGGACCCCATCATGCGGGGCCTGCTGGCAAGACCAGCCAAGCTGCAGGTGCAGGACCAGCTGCTGAATGAGGAGCTGACAGAGAGGCTGTTCGTGCTCTCAGACGCAGGGACCCTGGACCTGGCGTCCATCAACCTGCAGCGGGGCAGGGACCACGGGCTGCCAGGTGGGCCTCCATGCGCAGCGAGCCGAACCTGCGGCTTTGCCCACATCCAAGAAGCGGCTTGTAAGGCACATTAGTCATGAGACTGAGGCCGTTCAGCTTTTCTCTGACACTGGAGCAGCCGATGTCCTGAGCCGCTGCTCGGGGAAGGGGCCCAGGTGTCCAGGGGGAGCGAGTTGGGGAAGCGAGGCCGTTTCCCGGACACACAGCAGCACGTCGGGCCCCAGGATGCAGTGTCCACCTCCCCCCGACCCTCTCTGACCCTCCTCGGGGCCAGTGGGCACTACCCCAGTGCCTCCAGGCTGTCGCTGGTCCAGTCCCTTGGTCACTGGGGAGAGTAAAGACCCTCTCATCAGGCCTAGACTCTGTCATAAACACACAACAGCGCTGAGTGCCCGGGGATGGAGACAGGAGTCTACCAGGCGTCTCTGACAGAGAGCAGGGATGCCCGCTGCCCAGAGTGCATGTCCCAGGGCCCGTCCCAGCCGTGGCACCGGGCTGAGGTAGGACTCCCCGCTGCTCTGTGGACAGGCTCCGGGAGACCCTGCTGCCCCCAGGGCTGGAACCGTCCGGTGCAAGGTTTGCTGGGCGAGAGGCCTAGAGGCGCTGCTGTGGCCAGGATCCTGCAGCCACAGCCGCAGCTGGCGGGCAGGCGGGGGCCGTCCAGACCCCGGGGACAGGCGGCCTTGGCCCTCTCCCCGCAGGGTACAACGAGTGGCGGCAGTTCTGCGGCTTGTCCAGGCTGCAGACCCGGGCTGACCTGGGCGCGGCCACCGCCAACGGGAGCGTGGCAGACAGAATCCTGGACCTGTACGGGCACCCCGACAACATGGACGTGTGGCTGGGAGGCCTGGTGGAGAGCTTCCTTCCGGGGGCGCGGACCGGTCCGCTGTTTGCCTGCCTCGTGGGAAAGCAGATGAAGGCCCTGAGGGATGGTGACCGGTAGGGGCCCCGACCAGCTCCCTCTGAGGGGCCAGGGTGGGCGGTGCAGAGGGCTCCCCTCGCAGGAAGGGGTTTCACACTACGGAGAGAGGGGAGCGCTCTGGTCCTCAGGTCTGGCTCCGGCTCTGATGGCAATGCGTGGTCTGGCGACGAAGGGAGCCTATCTCCAGTACTGGGATTGCCCTGTGATCCGTCCATCGGGCTGGAGCCTCTGCTGAGGCTGCAGGCCCTCCGCCTCATCGTCACCACCTTGTAGGGCCGGCCCTGCCCCGAGACCCCCGTCGGCCTGGCGCGGTGCCCTGTGGGGCTCTCAGGCCGCGGCGGGGGCACTGTGGGCACCGGGGTGGGCAGGCGTGGCCGGAGGGCCCGGCCTGGGCTCTCACAGGAGCGTCCTCACGCGTGTCCCCCGCAGGTTCTGGTGGGAGCACCGCGCTGTGTTCACGGAGGCCCAGCGGCGTGAGCTGGGCCGGCACTCGCTGTCCCGCGTCATCTGCGACAACACCGGCCTCACCCGCGTGCCCCGTGACGCCTTCCAGGTGGCGCAGTGGCCCCGGGACTTCGAGTCATGTGACCGCATCCCGGGCATGGACCTGCGCGCCTGGCGGGAGGCCCCCCCTCCAGGTACCGGAACCTGGAACCGCGCGCTTCTCTTCAGGGGTCACGGACGGGGTCTGGGGGCGGAGTCCCGTGTCTCGGAGGGGAGGGGAGGGGAGGCTTGGTCTGGGGGCGCTCCCTGCTCAGCTGCTCCCTGGGGCACAGCCCGTACCTGCCCAGGAGCCGCTGCGACTCCCAGGCTCAGAGGGTGGCCAGATGGCTGAGCCCCGTGCCCGCCGTGCGCCACGTGGACTGTGGTCGCACTTGATTAACGGGGTTCGGGGGGTGGGCGGGAAGCCTGGGCAAGGCTGATACAAGGGGAGCAGTTAGAGGCCTGACGGGGCAGGGGGCTGAGGAGGGCCGGAGCTGGGCGGCCCGGAGCTGCGTCCTGCCTGGCGGAAGGAGACTGGGGACCTGGTCCCGGGAGGCTGGGGGGTGCAGCCCCGGAGGAGGGACCGCAAGCGGTGCTGCGCTGACTGTGGTCCCCGGCGCCCGGTCGCCCAGACGACGCCTGTGGCTTCCCGGACACAGTGGAGAACGGGGGCTTCCTGCTCTGCGCCGAGTCTGGGCGGCGGGTGCTGGTGTTCTCCTGTCGTCACGGATTCCAGCTCCACGGGCCGGAGCAGATCACCTGCACCCCGCGCGGCTGGGACTCCCAGCCCCCGGTCTGTCAAGGTCAGTGGCTCAAAGGGTGTGTCTCTGCAAGACTTGACCACCGAGTCTGCATTTTTCAAATTACTTGTATAATATTACAGTGTAACATAATATACTGTTCATGGGGTTCTCAAGGCAGGAATACTGAAGTGGTTTGCCATTCCCTTCTCCAGTGGACCATATTTTGTCAGAACTCTCTACCAAGACCTGTCCGTCTCCGCTGGCCCTACATGGCATGGCTCATAGTTTCATTGAGTTAGACAAGGCTGTGGTCCATGTGATTAGAATGATTAGTTTTCTGCGATTGTGGTTTTCAGTCTGTTTGCCCTCTGATGGAGAAGGATAGGAGGCTTATGGAAGCTTCCTGATGAGATAGACAGGTCGCTAGGTGCCCAGTATGCTCCTGGAGATCAGTGGGGAAATAACTCCAGAAAAAATGAAGAGATGGAGCCAAAGCAAAAACAACACCCAGTTGTGGATGTGACTGGTGATGGAAGCAAGGTTCGATGCTGTAAAGAGCAATATTGCATAGGATTCTGGAATGTTAGGTCCATGAATCAAGGCAAATTGGAAGTGGTCCAATAGGAGATGGCAAGAGTGAACGTCAACATTTTAGGAATCAGCAAACTAAAATGGACTGTAATGGGTGAATTTAACTCAGATGACAATTACATCTACTACTGTGGTCAGGAATCCCTTAGAAGAAGTGGAGTAGCCATCATAGTCAACGAAAGAGTCCGAAATGCAGTGCTTGGATGCAATCTCAAAAATGACAGGATGATCTCTGTTTGTTTCCAAGGCAAACCATTCAATATCACGATGATTCAAGTCTATGCCCTGAGCAGTAATGCTGAAGAAGCTGATGTTGAACAGTTCTATGAACCTATAAGACCTTTTAGAACTAACACCCCGAAAAGATGTCCTTTTCATTACAGGGGTCTGGAATACAAAAGGAGGAAGTTAAGAAACACCTGGAGAAACGGGCAAATTTGGCCTTGGAGTACAGAATGAAGCAGGTCAAATGCTAATAGAGTTTTGGCAAGAGAACGCACTGGTTTATAGCAAACACCCTCTTCCAGCAACACAAGGGAAGACTCTACACATGGACATCACAAGATGTTCAACACCAAAATCAGATTGATTATATTCTTTGCAGCCAAAGATGGAGAAGCTCTATACAGTCAGCAAAACATGACCAGGAGCTGACTGTGGCTCAGACCATGAACTCCTTATTGCCAAATTCAGACTTAAATTGAAAAAGGTAGGGAAAACCACTAGACCATTCAGGTATGACCTAAATAAAATCCCTTAGGACTACAAAGTATAAGTGAGAAATAGATTTAAGGGACTAGATCTAAAAGAGTGCCTGAAGAACTATGGACAGAGGTTTCTGACATTGTACAGGAGACAGGGAGCAAGACCATCCCCAAGAAAAAGAAATGCAAAGAAGCAAAATGGCTGTCTGAGGAGGCCTTACAAGTAGCTGTGAAAAGAAGAGAAATGAAAAGCAAAGGAGAAAAGGAAAGATATACCCATTTGAATGCAGAGTTCCAAAGAGTAGCAAGGAGAGATAAGAAAGGCTTCCTTAGAGATCAATGCAAAGAAATAGAGGAAAACAATAGAATGGGAAAGACTAGAGATCTCTTCAAGAAAATTAGAGATATCAAGGGAACATTTCATGCAAATATGGGCTCAATAAAGCATAGAAATGGTATAGACCTAACAGAAGCTGAAGATATTAAGACGAGGTGGCAAGAATACACAGAAGTGTACAAAAAAGATCTTCATGACCCAGATAATCATGATGGTGTGATCACTCACCTAGAGCCAGACATCCTGAAATGTGAAGTCAGGTGGGCCTTAGGAAGTATCACTATGAACAAAGCTAGTGGAGGTGATGGAATTCCAGTTGAACTATTTCAAATCCTAGAAGATGATGCTGTGAAAGTGCTGCATTCAATATGCCAGCAAATTTGGAAACTCAGCAGTGGCCACAGGATTGGAAAAGGTCAGTTTTCATTCCAATCGCTAAGAAAGGAAATGCTAAAGAACGCTCAAACTACCGCACAATTGCACTCATCTCACACGCTAGTAAAGTAATGCTCAAAATTCTCCAAGCCAGACTTCAACAATACATGAACCATAAACTTCCAGATGTTCAAGCTGGTTTTATGAAAGGCAGAGGAACCAGAGATCAAATTGCCAACATCCACTGGATCATCGAAAAAGCAAGAGAATTCCAGAAAAACATCTATTTCTGCTTTATTGACTACGCCAAAGCCTTCGACTGTGTGGATCACAATAAACTGTGGAAAATTCTGAAGGAGATGGGAATACCGGACCACCTGACCTGCCTCTTGAGAAACCTGTATGCAGGTCAGGAAGCACCAGTTAGAACTGGACATGTTAACAACAGACTGGTTCCAAATAGGAAAAGGAGTCCGCCAAGGCTATATATTATCACCCTGCTTATTTAACTTATATGCAGAGTACATCATGAGAAACGCTGGGCTAGAAGAAGCACAAGCTGGAATCAAAATTGCCGGGAGAAATTTCAATAACCTCAGATATGCAGATGACACCACCCTTATGGCAGAAAGCCAAGAGGAACTAAAAAGCTGCTTGATGAAAGTGAAAGAAGAGAATGAAAAAGTTGGCTTAAACCTCAACATTCAGAAAACAAAGATCATGGCATCTGGTCCCATCACTTCATGGGAAATAGATGGATAAACAGTGGAAACTGGCAGATTTTATTTTGGGGGGCTCCAAAATCACTGCAGATGGTGACTGCAACCATGAAATAAAAAGATGCTTACTCCTTGGAAGAAAAGTTATGACCAACCTAGTCAGTTCAGTCGCTCAGTCGTGTCCGACTCTTTGTGATCCCATGAACCGCAGCACACCAGGCCTCTCTGTTTATCACCAACTCCCCCGGAGTCCACCCAAACCCATATCCATTGAGTTGGTGATGCCATCCAACCATCTCATCCTCTGTCGTCCCCTTCTCCTCCTGCCCTCAATCTTTCCCAGCATCAGGGTCTTTCCCAATGAGTCAGCTTTTCGCATCAGGTGGCCAAAGTACTGGAGTTTCAGCTTCAACATCAGTCCTTCCAATGAACACCCAGGACTGATCTCCTTTAGGATGGACTGGTTGGATCTCCTTGCAGTCCAAGGGACTCTCAAGAGTCTTCTCCAACACCACAGTTCAAAAGCATCAATTCTTCAGTGCTCAGCTTTCTTTATAGTTCAACTCTCACATCCATATATGACCACTGGAAAAACCATAGCCTTGACTAGACGGACCTTTGTTGGCAAGGTAATGTCTCTGCTTTTTAATATGCTGTCTAGGTTGCTCATAACTTTTCTTCCAAGGAGTAAGCGTCTTTTAATTTCAAGGCTGCAGTCACCATCTGCAGTGATTTTGTAGCCCAGAAAAGTAAAGTCAGCCACTGTTTCCACTGTTTCCCCATCTATTTGCTGTGAAGTGATGGGACTGGATGCCATGATCTTAGTTTTCTGAATGTTGAGCTTTAAGCCAGCTTTTTCACTCTACTCTTTCACTTTCATCAAGAGGCTCTTTATTTCTTCACTTTCTGCCATAAGGGTGGTTTCATCTGCATATCTGAGGTTATTGATATTTCTCCCAGCAGTCTTGATTCCAGCTTGTGCTTCTTCCAGCCCAGCGTTTCTCATGATGTACTCTGCATATAAGTTAAATAAGCAGGGTGATAATATATAGCCTTGGCGGACTCCTTTTCCTATTTGGAACCAGTCTGTTGTTAACATGTCCAGTTCTAACTGGTGCTTCCTGACCTGCATACAGGTTTCTCAAGAGGCAGGTCAGGTGGTCCGGTATTCCCATCTCCTTCAGAATTTTCCACAGTTTATTGTGATCCACACAGTCAAAGGCTTTGGCATAGTCAATAAAGCAGAAATAGATATTTTTCTGGAATTCTCTTGCTTTTTTGATGATCTGATGGATGTTGACAATTTGATCTCTGGTTCCTCTGCCTTTCATAAAACCAGCTTGAACATCTGGAAGTTCATGGCTCACGTATTGCTGAAGACTGGCTTGGAGAATTTTAAGCATCACTTCACTCGTGTGTGAGATGAGTGCAATTGTGCAGTAGTTTTGAGCATTCTTTGGCATTTCCTTAGGGATTGGAATGAAAACTGACCTTTTCCAATCCTGTGGCCACTGCTGAGTTTCCAAATTTGCTGGCATATTGAATGCAGCACTTTCACAGCATCATCTTCTAGGATTTGAAATAGCTCAACTGGAATTCCATCACCACACTAGACAGCATATTAAAAAGCATAGACATTACTAACAAAGGTCTGACTAGTCAAGGCTATGGTTTCTCCAGTAGTCATGTGTGGATGTGAGAGTTGGACTATAAGGAAAGCTGAGCAGCAAAGAATTGGTGCTTTTGAACTTGGTGTTGGAGAAGACTCTTGAGAGTCCCTTGGACTGCAAGGAGATCAAACCAGTCCATCCTAAAGGAGATCAGTCCTGAATATTCACTGGAAGGACTGATGTTGAAGCTGAAACTCCAGTACTTTGGCCACCTGATTCGAAGAGCTGACTCATTTGGAAAGACCCTGATGCTGGGAAAGATTGAAGGTGGGAGGAGAAGGGGACAACACTCCGGGAGTTGGTGATGGACAGGGAAGCCTGGCGTGGTGCAGTCCATGGGGTCGCAAAGAGTCGGACAGGACTGAGCTACTGAAGTGAACTGAACTGAACATAATATAAATTATGTAATATAATTTGTGTGCATGCATGCGTGCTAAGCCATTTCAGTCATGTCTGACCCTTTGTGACCCCATGGACTGTTGCCCACCAGGCTCCTCTGTCCCTGGGGATTCTCTAGGCAGGAATACTGGAGTGGGTTGCCATGGCCTCCTCCAGGGGATCTTCCCAACGCAGGGATCAAACCTTGCGTCTCCTGCCCTGGCAGGAGGGTTCTTTACCACTAGCACCAGCCCATTATAACTTGTATAATATAGCATATAACATTGTAATGTAAAATAACTTACATCATATGGTATAGCAGCTACACTTCAACTTAGAACTGAAAGCAAACCCCCAATGCATGCACACATAAGTGTAACTCACGCAGAAGTGCCTCTGGGTATCATTGCCTTCCAGGGACTGTTTGCCTGGATAAAGGATGCCCTCCCAGGGGCCCCCGTCCCTCAGTCATCTTTCTAGAAATGAAGCCCCAGGAGTCACCTCACAATTACTGACAGGGTGAATGACCCGGGAAGGACAGAGGAGGCAGAAGAGGCTGGAACCCCAGGCAGGCTTGTGGGAGGGAGCTCGCAGAGCCAGTCCTGCAATGAAGCAGGTGTTTCCACTGGAAGCATCAACGGAGCGGAGTCCCCACTGGAGGTCGCCACTTCCCAGCGAGACCTCAGTCTCCTCTCTGTGGGGACCCAGCATTCCTGCTCCTGGAGGAACCCAGAGCCGAGACCCCCCGAGCAGAAGCAGGATCCCTCCCAGACTCCAGGAGAAGTGCCCCCACATCAACCGCGTTAGTAGGACTTTAGAGAAGTGGGAGGTGGACTCAGGCAAGAATCGGGCTGGTTCACAAGAAATGAAAGCAAGATCCAGTTTGCTCAGTTCTACAGTTTCCATCTGGGAAGATGAAAACATCTAGAGACGCAGGGTGGTCCTAGTTGACGGCTTGTGAAGGTACCTAATTCGCCCAGAATGTGCCCTGAAAAACAGGGAAGATGGTAACTGTCGTGTTCTGTACACGTCATCACGATACAAGATTTTCCAGTTCTGGGGATTCTAAAGTGTTGTCTCAGAAGGGCGCCGGCCTCTAGACTCTGCCTCGTGGAGGGGGCGCCCAGGAGAGGCAGGGGGCAGCCGCAGGGAAGGTGCAGATGCTCCCTCCAGGTGCGAGAAGGATGACCAGGCAGCGAGATAGTGGCCCCGGGCGACGTCCAGGTTCAACCTGGAGCCGAGCCGAGCCGACGGCACAGGGCGCTGCCTGGAGATGGAGGGTGTGAGAGCATTTCCGCCTCGTCGCGCGTCCAGGTCTGCCCCGGAGGACGTGGGCGCGGCCGTGGCGGGCGCCCCGCCAGGTGAGGGCTAGGCCATGAGCGCAGCGGACTCGGGGAGGATGGCGAGCGAGGCCTCCCTCCCGGATTCCGTCAGAGCGTGGCTCCCCGGGAGCCCGGCTGGGCTTCCTGCGGCGCCGCGTGGATGCGTCCGCCGCCTCCGTTGACGGCCCTCCGGCACCAGGCTCTCCGCACGCCCGTCCTCACGACCTGCAGGTAAAGCTTCAGGAGCGGAAGTCGTAGCGTCGCTTCCGGTTGGCGCTGGTGCGGAGCAGAAGTGCCCGCCTCGCCTAGGGCCGCGGTCCTCGGGTCCGCAGGGCCAGCACGCGTCTGCCCGCACCGGGCGTGGCGTCGTGGGTGTGCCTCCCTCTGTTCCGCGTAAACCTCCCGGCCATTCTGTGCAGCACGCTGGCCGTTTGCTTCGGGTGTCTGTGACCCCACAGCTCTATTCCCAGGGCTCGTGAGGGACAGTGAAGGAGGAAGAAAGCTTCGAACCAGGGGAGCAGAGGAGAGTGCGTGCTTGAGCTCACCCCCGCCCAGAGTGTGCTCCGCCCCGGGGCCCCAGTCACACGGCCTCCCGGGGAGGTCACACAGCCCCTCAGGGAACCATCGGTCGGAGGGCAGCAGCGCCCTTCCACACCCGACGCCCCCACACCTCCCGCCTTTTCCTAACGCAAGGTTTCACATCTCGGGCTGACTGCTCCCCGGAGACGGGTACAGGGTGGTATCGGGCTCACAGCGCTGTCAGCCGGATTCTGAACAGGCTGGCTGCTCCGAGGTCTGAGTTACAGCCCGTCTCAGGGGTCCAGGGTGGGGGTGGGGGCTCGGTCAGCAAAGGCTGACCCCTGCTCACTTATGCTTCCAAACGCAGGGCCCACGGAGAGTGTGGGGCAGTGTGTGTGGTCGTGGAGTGTGCAGGACGTGTTTTCTGTCTGCACGTCCTGCCCTAGCCCAAGTCTCCTGGAATCGGCCGAATAGAGGGCGAGTTACTTAAGACACCGGAGCCTGGGGAACTGGCATGGTCATGGGTTCAGGCGGCAGACCGCAGGGGCTGCACATGCTCCCCATTTTGGAGGCTCACCTTGCGCCCCCACCCTCAGGCCCGGGGGGCAGGTCTTGGCTCCCACTGCACAGCCAGCATTTCCTCAGCGGTGGACCCAGTGTGGACCGTGGGGCTGGACGCTGTGGCTTGGGGTGGGCTGACTCGATGGCACCACTGTCTCCCAGGAAGGCCGAGCCTCTGCATCTGAGCAAGCCCCAGCGGCCTGCGTGGTCTGAGCCTCCAGGGCCCTGTCCCAGGGGCCTGCCCCAGGCCAACTGGGGGGTCATGGGCCTGGTGGCCGCCATGGAAGGGGCAGGCCTGGGGTGACGTCCCCCTGCTCCGGACGAGAGACAGGCCTGGGGAGGGGGCTGGGTACTGACCTCCCTTCATGTGTGCAGACATCAACGAGTGTGAAGACGAAGTGGACCCCCCCTGCCACGCATCCGCGCGCTGCAAGAACACCAAGGGTGGTTTCCAGTGTGAGTGCAGCGACCCCCATGTGCCCGGCGAGGACGGCAGGACCTGTGTGGGTGAGACCACGGCCTCTGTGCCAGCTGGGGGTGTCTGTGCCAGCCGGGGGTGTCTGTGTGACACTCAGGGTTACTGCAGGTCATCGTCTGGCCTTGCGTTTCCCCACTACCACGTCCTCTGACACTGGGTGGGTGCAGGGTGCCCACAGGTTTGTGCCAGAGACACAGGAGGCCATGAACCCCTGAGGGGGGGCGGTGCAGACCCTGCTGCAGATGCTTAGACAGTTTCAACCCCCCTGAACTGTCTCTGAGGGGGAAGCACGGTGTTTGAGCCCCACGTGCAGAACAGAGAGGATAAGCATCTTGCTCGGGATCACACAGCCTCACAGCTGCAGGTTTGGAATCTTAACTTGGCTTCCAGCTCCTGCACCAGCTCCTGTTACCAGGGCAAGACATTTCAGTAAAGCTCCCACGAGAGGATCAGAGCTCAGCTCCAAGAGCAGCAGAGGCGAGCAGGGAATGGACGGCCAGCAGGACAGAGCTTGCTGGGCTCCCAGGGTCGGCGCTCCCGGGGTTGGGGTCGAGTGGGCAGATTGGCCCCAGTCCTTGGCTGGCAGGCTCACTGACCGGCTATGCCCTTGTTCCAGACTCCGGGAGGCTCCCGCGGGCATCTGTGGTCTCCCTGGTGCTGGGCGCCGTGCTCATCTGTGGTCTGGCTGGCCTCACCTGGACGGTGGTTTGCAGGTGGTAAGTCCCCACTTCGCAGTGGCTCCCCACCTTGGGCCCAGCTGTCCTGAAGCTGGTGGAGGTCGCCGGCTGTCTCCACTGGCACCCATCTGTGTCTAGAGCCATTTGCCTTCCTGACTTGCCTTCAGCTTGAAATGATGACACCCTACACAGCAGAGGGTGTCCACCGTTTGGATGGAGACTCTGTGATACCAGATCGCCGGTCAGATTAAGTGGTTGTGATGAATGACGAAGGTTCTTGATCTTACGAAGGTTTCTCAGAGAAGAGTGGTCTTTCCTGGATAGAATCTTATTCTTCATTCCTCTCTTTTCCCTCAAGAGCAGACTCCGGAGAAACTGGGAAATTGAAAGGTGAACTTTTGTTACAAATGGCCAGGTCTGTGTGTTTCTGGGGGTGAGAGCCAAGTGCGAAGTTCCACCCCTTGGGGGACTGGACCCCAGCCCCACCCCCAGCCCCCACCGCTGCTGTGGCCTCCCAGCTCCCGGCTCTGCTGCTGGGCATCCAGTGTGCACTTAACAGACTGCGTGACAGTCACCGTGTGGGCAGACTGTCCCAGGGCCCAGGCCTGCCGCTCTGACGAGCCTCTGATGCCGGCTGACCTTCAGGTCAGCCTGGGGGCCAGCTCTCCACTGCTGGCTGCAGGAGTCCTGCTTCTAAGACTCGGGTGCAGCACCCACCCCATGTCCACACGTCACACTGACCCTCTGCTCCCAGGGGCCTGTGCTGAGTGTCTTGTCTTCCCAAGAGCTCAGCGCCTCCCGCACACCGGTAGATGACTTACCCTGACTGCAGACCAGGAGTCTTAGAGGGGGATGGCATCAGGAAATGGCCCCTGTGTTTTCACAATCCCTTGGTCCTGAAAGTTTAGCTATTACCAGTTCTTAAAACCCTTAGATACCGAGAAATCAATTAAGCAATGAAAATGAGAGGCTTAGGCAAGCAGCCCCAATCAGCTGGCTCTGTAGCCAGCTACTAAACGCTCCCACTGTGAAGCTGGTGTTACCATAGCTTAGCATTCGGGTGCAGTTTTGCGTTTGTAGACCTTGCAGTCAAACATCAGTCACCTATTATGAAGAATGCTGTGCCTCCAGCCCCCACACTCAGGAAAAATAGCTGTTTTCTTTAAGATCATCAGCGTGGATGAATGAGTACCTCCCTGAGGGAGTCTGGGAGGGAAGCACCTGCCACACTTGACTGCAGACTCTGGAGCCTGGAGAAGTCCCTACAGACGCGACTTTGGCTTGCGAAGTGTCTCTTACCTGAGCCACCTGTCAGCCCGTGGGGGGGCGGGGGAGGGATTGCTGGCAGAGAGGGGAGGGGCAGGAGTTCTTCATGGGGACCACGTGGGCCTCTGCACACGGGCCCTGGATACTCTGTGTCCTCAGAGCCTTGATGGGAGGAGCCTAACCCACAGCTCCCCCTCCCAGAGGCTCCTCTGAGCCCCTGGGCATCTGCACGCTGCGGCCCTGATGATTCCAGCCCCGCGGAAGGGAGGGGGCTGATGGGCGAGACAGAGAGACAGAGAGAGACAACGGAGAGAGACAGAAAGAAAGATGGAGAGACAGACAGAGACAGAGACAGACACCGCTTAGGGCACCTCTCAGGTGCTCTGGGGGCCTTGACCTTCCTTCTGTGTTGATTCTCTCCTCCCCCCCATTTATCCCTCCCCTACTATTTTGGATCTAAGCCTGTACATTTTGGGGTAATGACTATTAACATAATTATTTCAACTAGAAATACGCCAGCATTGACATGTTTCCACTGAAAGACTGATCAACAGTTAACTCCATCAAACCAACTGTCCGATCAGCTTTCTTCATGCAATGAAAACACACTAGCATTTACGTTATCTCATTGAAATTATGTTCACCAAGATAAATATTTTTTGGTGCAACTTTTGCATGAAAAGCTTGATTTGTGATCGGTTGTCTGGGCCCATCCATCTTGCTGATCAGTCTCCAGTCCTGAGAGCGTCTCTGCCGAGTTACTCCTGTGGTCTGAACTTCTCAGGTCAACCCTTTTGGGGTAAATTTCATCCATATTGCGTTTACCAGTCAGTCATCAGTCCATCAGCGGGAAAGGTGAGGCTTCCACCTCAGTTCCTCCGATGTGCTCTCGTTTCATCGTTTGTCCCGCGTTTCCCACCCTGAGTCTCAGGGCCTGAGGTTTAAGTCCTCAGAATCTCTTTGTTTAGGACAAGCCTAATCCTGTGCCTTAGGCAGCTGGCAGCTGCATTTTGTGCTATTTCTACTGGAATGCTATTGTAACTGGGGAAAGAAGGGTTAATTTGCATGCTTCCCACTTACCCTCTAGAAGCTGGGATGGGGCCCCAGGCGGGGCAGCCTCTCCTGGGCCCAAGGGCAACCTTCCATGCTCACACCTCGGGTTAGCGCACCTGCTTCCCCGTCCCGCCTCCTTACAGGGAGGTGACCTGCTGGGAGGCTGGCCTCGCCCGCTCTGCCAGCCAGAGCCCAGAGCTGGCCTAAAGGGCACGTTCCTCACTGTCACTGTAACAGCAGCTGCAGACAGTATACAGAGTGTGGTTTTGTTACTGTCAGTTTTTTGCTGTTTATCAGTTTCTCTTTGAGAAAAATATAGAGCTGTGTTCTTGTGTTAAGGGGCTGAGTAGAGGCAGTTTCAGCCCAGTTTTCCTGCCCCGCCATCCAGCGAGGGGACCCAGACTCAGGCGTCCTGCCCTGCCATCCAGGGAGGCTGGTGTCCCACGTGGCCCCTGGCCCGGCAGAGCCCATGACGCCGGGTTCCGTGGGTCCCGTCTCAGTTCCCCTGCTCCTTCCCTCCTTCCCATTCACAGGGCCCCAGGACCCCCTACCTGGGACCCAGCCCCTTCAGCACCCCGCCCTCCCCCCACATCCTCCCCCAGGGTCGCTCAGAGCTGAAGGCTGATGGCCCGCCCTGAGTCAGGCGTCCTCACACCTTTGGACATGTTTCTGAAAGTCCCCGCTGGCTCAGCGTGAGCTTGTGTCTGAGAAGCGGTCCAGTCGGCCCCACTTCCATGCCGCCGTGACGTCTGCCGTCCTTCTGCTCTTCACTTGGGGGCGGTGCTGGGTTCCCTGAGGCAGAGCCTCTTCATACACTCCAGTGGGGCCCAGGCGCCTGCCTCCAGCTGTGCCCCACAGAGTTTCCAGTTTTGTTTTCTAAACCAAGATGTTGGCTTGAATCTAAAGCACGTCTCTGTGTTTGAGGAGTGAGCTGGTGCCGTTGGGAGTGGCCCTTGGAGGCTTCCCGGCGCTGGCCCCTCTAGGTGATGACCGCTGAGAGGGCACGTTTATCCACAGGACGCTCGCTGACCCCAAGTCCTCGCTGCCGCCCGTGGAGGGAGAGGGAGGAGGACCCCGAGACGTGAGCGCTCCGCCGCGGGACGCTTCCGCGGGGCTTGCAGAGCAGGTGGGTTCACAGCGGGCCTTCCTGAGGTTTGCAACCTCGTGGGTGTCTGTCAGGACCCAGGGAGTCAGTGGAGGCACTGGGGCTGCAGGCCATCAGCCTGGCCCCTCCTGAGTTCCCATCTGACGCCAGCTCCACCCCCCCAGGGCATCTTCCCTCTGCCCGGTTCCTTCTACGAACTGCATTCATGGGAGATGCTAATTTGTCAAAGTGTTAACCTACTTTTTAAAAAAGTAGAAGAGGCACATTGGAATCAATGACCTGGAGGGAAAGGACTGGAAATGCCTTTCATTTGTACAAAAGGCTACCATCCCAAGGGTCCCTTCAGGCTTCAGTATCCAGTCTCAAGTACCGGCTGATGCTGCCTGCGGAGGAGCCAGAAGCTGAAAGAAAGCGTCAACTTTTACAGTGCGCTTCTTAAAAAAGGAAAGTTATAATCAGTGTGAAAAAATCAGCCGAAACTAGCTTTTCACTATTTTTACCTTATAAACATGAATGACCCCAGTGGGGTTATATTTTAAAAGTCATTACTGTTCCCCGGGGCCTGCTTGGAATTCAGGGCTGGGTGGTGTTCAGAGCTAAAACGATCACGTCCTTGGAGGCGGAGTGGAATCAGCCTTGGCACCTGCCTGCAAGCCTGGAACCAAGAATACCGCCCCCTCCCCCGAGCGAGGAGGGGCCAGGCGGCCAGCGACCAGGTCTTTGTAGGTGCTTCGCCAGCCTCCAGTGGGGCGGCACGTGGCTTCCCGTTGGTCTGAAGCTCCCCAGGGCTTGTCTCCCTAGGGCCCGGCCTGTGGATCCCAAGTCTTCCTCTGCAAGTAGGAGCCCCTGTGTGGGGCGTGTGCGCTGCTCACTGGCCAGAGTCAGACAGCGCTCACATCAGCCTGGACACCTGGGGCGCAGTGAGCGGACCCTCGCACGCTGCCCACTGCCTGATTAGGACACGCTCACCGGGTCCGGGTGAATAAATCCCACCACTGTACAGTCGTCTGGCTCCTTTTGTAAGCACACACGGACGGGTCCCTCCTGGAGGGGGTGCCATGAGAATGTATTTACATATTATGCATATTTATGTTTTGTAAGCACACTGGACGGGTCCCTCCTGGAGGGGGGCGGGACAAGAGAAGGTATTTACATATCATACATATTTATGTTTTGTAAGCACACCGGATGGGTCCCTCCTGGCGGGGGAGGGCCATAAGAAGGTATTTACAATTTTCCATATTTATGAACCTTCTCCTCCACCCAGAGGAACGGAAGATTGTGTCCCCGCCCCCACATCGGCTTCACTGTCTCTCTCTTGCATTCTGCTCCCTCTTCCACGACCCCATGCCTCCACCTGGGTTTCCTCCCAGCCCTGCCTCTCCTCCGCTGATTCTCTGGACGCACTGCAAGCCCAGGGCCCCGTCATCCGTCACTGCGGGCACCTGGACCCGCGTCCCTCCTCCCTTCTGTCGTCCCCCACAGCTGAGGCTGGGAGAGGGTCAGCGAGTCACCCAGTCATCTGGGAACCTGCCGACGGACTTTGGAGTCCAGGCCCCACTTCCCAGCCCCCTCGCCACAGCTCCGGGCGATCTCTGCGCCTCCTTGTCCCTCGCTCAGCTCGATCATCTTCCAAGGGACCCCGTGGGCTCATGGGGAGTCCCCCCCACCACCGCTGCCCCGCTGGGTCCTTGCTTCCCCACGACACAGGGAGCCTCCTCCTGGTTAGACCTGGGCTCAGAGAGCTGCCTGCGGCCTGCACCTGTCGGGCCCTGAGAGCACGGGAAGGTGGTGACAGACAAGATCCTGCAGCTCAGCTCTGTGCCAGCAAGGAGGGAGCTGGCGGGAACGTGAGGGTCTGCTCTGCATGTTAAGGTGCTGCGCTGAGAAGCAGGTATTACTCTTTGTAACCTGAAAATACCGCTGCTCGTAGGTCCTGCGTCAGCCTGTCCCGTGATCTTAAGTTCTTACTGTTGATATAAGACCTGTTAATGACAACGATTAGGCCACCACAGGAGACCCCCCCACCACCACCCTCCATTCGCCTGGGGAGAGGAAGGTGGTCCCTGGGGGGAGCCTAGATTGTACCCTGGAGGGGAAGCAGTGACACAGCAGACCCGTGCGTCCCTGCACAGCTGCGGGGGGTAAGGAGTGGCCGCTCTGGAGGACTCCTGCCGAGGAGGCAGAGGGACAGACGGGCGGGCGGTGGGCAGCCCTGATGCGTGGCCTCGGGGCCCCCAGCAGGCGCCGCCCCCCGGCACCACCAGTCAGCTGGGACCTCAGCCTCCGGGACCTCGTTCTGCTTGTCTGTGTGCGTCAAGCCCCCTGTGCTGGACCTGGGCCCCCCGAGCCTTGTGAACGAAGGACTGGAAGACAGCACCCCCTCCAGCACACATCCGGCCCCCAGGGTTCCCTGAGCGCCAAGCTGCCCGCTCTGTGGGTGGACGGCACCACCTGCTGGGGGATGGGGGCAGCTCTGGCGCGGCTCTCTGCTGGGCCAGCCCGGGCTTCCACTGAGAGGACTGCCTCTTTGGGGTCAGTTCAGCCGCTCAGTCGTGTCCGACTCTCTGTGACCCCATGGACCGCAGCACGCCAGGCCTCCCTGTCCATCACCAACTCCTGGAGTCCACCCAAACTCACGTCCATTGAGTCGGGGATGCCATCCAACCATCTCATCCTCTGTCGTCCCCTTCTCCTCCCACCTTCAATCTTTCCCAGCATCGGGGTCTTTTCCAATTTGTGCCTCAAACATGGGCAGCCTCTGCCTCTACCTGCTTCCTCGCCTGGGAGTCCAGCGTCACCACTGCCCCTGTCGGCTGTCACCCCAAGGGGTCGGGTCCCATTGGGGTCACAGCACAGTGGGCCGGCAAGTCAAGAGGTGAGGTGATGGGGAAGGAATAGCAGCTTTACTTAGAAGCCAGCAGACAGAGGAAGGTGGACCGGCATCCTGAAGAACCATCTGAACTTGGGGTGGAATTCAGGCTCGTCTGTACAAGGGAAGGGGAAGTGGAGGTTTCAGGATTGGGTGTGAATGTGCGGGGCAGGTTCTTAGAGCCCCAGCCTTAAAGGATGCACAGCATGTCCGTGTCCTTCTGCTTTTCCTGCGGGCTGGTCCAAGGTCCCGCAAGCCCTTGTGTTGTTAGCACTTCACACTTACCTCTGCTTATTCACAAGGCTTCTAGCTTGAAAGCGAACTTATCCACAATGAGTTTCAGCCATGAAGTGTGTCCCTGGACACAGCGGCGTTTCTCTAACATTTGGCTCTTGAAGAGCAGGGCTCAAGTGACAGGAGACAGGCCCAGAGAATGGGGTGGGGTATCAGTGTGTGTCAGCGCCCTTCTGCTCTGCTCCAACCCCCCTCCATCCCGCCCAGGCCTCTGGGGACCCCACAGGCACGCGCCCACCATGAGGGCCACCCTGCCAGGACCAAGGTGCCCCAACTTTGGGACAAAACACACTTCCCGTGGAGGGAGTGTTCTCAGAGAAATTCCTGTGGGAGTCAGAGAATTTCGCTGCAAACATTCTCAGAATTGTTTTTAATCAGTGATGAACTTCCGGAGGCACCTTACCTGATGATCTGAAGACAAAATGAAATACTGAAATACTCGCGAGTGTCCCTTTCTGCACGAAGCCTTCCTACCCCTGGCCTCCCCCGCAGGTGAAGGGGGATCTGTGTCCAGGGACCCTCTGCAGTGAGATACACTCGGCTTGGTTGGTACTGAGCTCATGAGATGAAGAAAAAAAAACAACAGTTAATATACAGCAGAATATTACCCTGCTTATTTACCTTATATGCAGAGTACATCATGAGAAACGCTGGGCTGGAAGAAGCACAAGTTGGAATCAAGATTGCCGGGGGAAATATCAATAACCTCAGATATGCAGATGACATCACCCTTATAGCAGAAAGTGAAGAAGAACTAAAAAGCCTCTTGATGAAAGTGAAAGAGGAGAGTGAAAAAGCTGGCTTAAAGCTCAACATTCGGAAAACTAAGATCATGGCATCCGGTCCCATCACTTCACAGCAAATAGATGGGGAAACAGTGGAAACAGTGGCTGACTTTACTTTTCTGGGCTACAAAATCACTGCAGATGGTGACTGCAGCCTTGAAATTAAAAGATGCTTACTCCTTGGAAGAAAAGTTATGAGCAACCTAGACAGCATATTAAAAAGCAGAGACATTACCTTGCCAACAAAGGTCCGTCTAGTCAAGGCTATGGTTTTTCCAGTGGTCATATATGGATGTGAGAGTTGAACTATAAAGAAAGCTGAGCACTGAAGAATTGATGCTTTTGAACTGTGGTGTTGGAGAAGACTCTTGAGAGTCCCTTGGACTGCAAGGAGATCCAACCAGTCCATCCTAAAGGAGATCAGTCCTGGGTGTTCATTGGAAGGACTGATGTTGAAGCTGAAACTCCAGTACTTTGGCCACCTGATGCGAAAAGCTGACTCATTGGGAAAGACCCTGATGCTGGGAAAGATGCAGGAGCAGAAGGGAACAACAGAGGATGAGATGGTTGGATGGCATCACCGACTCAATGGATATGAGTTTGGGTGGACTCCGGGAGTTGGTGATGGACAGGGAGGCCTGGTGTGCTGCGGTTCATGGGGTCGCTGAACTGAGCGACTGAACTGAACTGAACACAGCAGAATCGAGACTGGGTGGAAACTTGCCTCAAAATACACAAGAATGAAAGTGGGGACTCCCTGGGGCTCCCCCCGGGGATGGCACCCCCCCCGAGTCCACCCACGCACCTCGCGGCCCACAGGCCCCATCCCCTGCAGCGCCGTCTTCAGAGCCTGCGTCCTGTGTCGAGTGGACGCAGCAGTGCCCCAGACTCGGCTCCAGAGGGGCGTGTCTACGCTGCTTTGGGAAGATGGAGGCCCCATCCTGCGTAGGGAGGGAAAGCGTCCTCAGAGGCCGGGCCGCGGGGCCCAGAAAACCCCAGGGCCACGCACGTTTCAGTCCAGGGTCGGGCGACTTCTGTTACGACTTCTGTTAGAGTTTTGCATTTACTACTTTCATTGCAAAAGAAATGGGTAGGAATGGGAAGACCCAGAGGGATCCGGTGGAGAAGAAGGTGGGGGGGGGGGGAACGGGATGGGGAATACATGTAAATCCATGGCTAATTCATGTCAGTGTATGACAAAACCCATTACAATATTGTAATTAGCCTCCAACTAATAAATGAAAAAAAAAAAGAAAGAAATGGGTAGCACTTTAAGCTACCCATTTCCCCGGTCACTCCGGTGGTAAAGAACCCACCTGCAATGCAGGAGACCTTGGTTTGATTCCTGGGTCAGCAAGTCGCCCTGCAGAAGGGCAACTCTGTCCCAGCTCCCCCTCAAGGCTGGGCCTCCGGCCCCACGGCTGTGGGGCGGGAGAGAGGGTGGCCGCTCATCCCCCAAACCCGGCAGAGACTCGGCGGTGGGGCGCGGTGGAGGGGCGCCACACGACGTGGTCGGCGCAGGCTTGACTGCATCGGCCAGCGGCACCCCTGTCAGCCTACAGACCCCCAGGCTGGCCTCCTGGGGAACCAGAGACGATCCCTCAACCCTGGCCCTGCTGCTGCTGTAGAAACCTCAGCTGGGAAACCTATTTTCTTAGCGGGCGGAGGCACTCCTGGAGATGTTTTCCGCAGACGTAAGGAAGCGGGTTCCAGCTTCCGGAACTTGTTTTGGGGCCAGGCCACGGCGCTTTGATCCGCAGCGCAGCCGGCCCGCCCTGTGGGCGCCTGCAGACCGCGATGTGGAATCGCGTGGGCTGCGGCCTCTCTGGGGCTCCTATTCGCTGAGGCCTCTCCCGGCCTGGCCCCGGGGTGCGCTGCGTCAGGACCCAGCCCCACGCGTCGGAGGTGAGCGAGCAGGGTGCGCTCAAGGCCACCAGAGGAACGGCGAGCGTGCCCTCCCGGGGCGAGCGGGCAGCCCCACGGGGCACGGCCCCCGGGTGCCGCTGTGTCCTCTGGCCACGTCCCCCTGGGCCCTCGGGGGACTGCCCTCGGGCGGCACCCAGAGGGTCTCCCCGACGGCCCTGTGCTCGGGGGGCCTGCCCTCCCGGCCCGCGTCCGGGGCCCGGCCTCCCTGACCGTCTGCCATCTGCACTCCCGAGGCGGACGGCAGTCTGAGGCTGTTCGGGGCAGCTCGTCGTCAGGGGGGACATGGTACTGTTCGTAAGAAATGCTTCCTTCAGAAGCTTCCACTGCCAGGGCCGACCACAGAAATTCAGAGGAAGGGGAGGAGGCTGAGGCCGTGACAATCTATGCCAGAAAACGAAGGTTTGGGGGGAAATAGGAGGGTGGGGTGTTGAGCTTGGCAGCGGCTCACGTCTTTGCCAGAGAGGAGAGACGATTTGTGCAGAGTTTCACCACGCACGCCAGCTGGAATCCGTCTCTGCAGATTCATAAATGACTTTCCTCTCATATTACAGACCCGTCCAGGAGCTGAAAGGGTCACTTACATTTGCAGTTTTGTGTTACTGAACTTTATGAGGAAAATTACCCTGTCTGGTGGACTCAGAGTCTCAGAGCCACTCCCCCAGCGAGCGGGAGTCTGGGGTCCCCGGATCGCCCTCCAGGGTCCACACCAGCCCTCTCCCGGGTCCCAGTCCTCATCAGTGGGGCTAGGCTGACCTCCTACAAGTCCTGCCTGCGGTCAGCAGCCCAGCCACTTCAGCAGCTACTTCTGTCCAGCTGAGCACAGGCTCAGTACAGACAGACAGACCTGATCTGCCGGTGCCCAAGGGAACCAGGAGCCCCGGGTCGGCCAGGTGTGCAGAGAGGCCCCGGCCAGCGAAGCTTGGGGGTGTCACAGGAAGTGAAGTTGAGGGGACTGCTTAAGTGACGGCAGCAAACTTCACTCAGCACAGCTTCAAGCAGAGAGCCTGCTTTGGGAGAGCTGGCGGAGGGGTGGGGTGGGGGGCAGGAAACTTTTGCAGGGCAAAAATAAAGACTGAGGAAGAGAAGCAGAAAGAGAGCGTCTGGGGCGCCCGCCGGCCCTGTTTGGGGTGAGGAGTCCAGTGGCTTGGCTCGGGGGGTGTGTGCTCGGTGCTGGGCCTGGGAGCAGCGGAGCCTCTGCAGGGACATGGATGCTCCTGAGGGTCCCAGGAGGAGCGACTCCATCTAGGGCCTGGGAGGTTATTTCAGGACAAGGAACTTGCTGTTTCATCCCCCACAGTTCACAAACTTGCAGATCTGCTGGGGAAGGGAACAGGGGGTGCCAGGCTTCACAGGAGCCTTCCAGCTGCTTCCGGGAGCTCGGCACTGAAGGCAGACAGCAGGTGGGCAGCCGAGGGTCCGGAGCGGACAGCAGCCGGTCCCAGTGAGCCCTACGGCCCTGGGACGCTCACAGCAGCCTGCCTGCACACCGCTGCCATCTCTGAGCCTGGGTGTCCCGCGTGGGGCCCAGACTCCGCCCCCTCCAGCTGCCTGGGTCGCTCTCGGGCTCAGTGGGACTGCAGTGATGACAGTGATAATAAACTTGACAAGACACACGCAACCCAGTGTTCACTGCCGCTCTGTCCACAATAGCCAGGATGTGGAGGCAGCCTGTGTCCATCACCAGGGGAATGGGGACCCAAGATGTGCTAGGTACAGGCAATGGGATGTTACTCAGCCATAAAAAAGAATGAAATATGCTATTTGCATAGATGGACCTAGAGATTATCATGCCAAGTGAAGCAAGTCAAGCAGAGGACAAATATCATGTGATATCACTTACATGTAAAAAGGGGGTACAAATGAATTTATTTACAAAATAGAAACAGACTCAGACCAGAGAACAGAAGTGTATGGTTACCAGGGGGGAAATTGAGGGAGGAATACATTTGGAGTTTGGAATTAACATATACGAACTACTGTATAAAATGGATGAACGAGGACATACCATATAGCACAGGGAACTATATTCAACATCTTGTGACAACGTATAATGAAAACAATGGAAAAGGAATATAAGTAAATGCACAGACATACATATATAAAGCTGAATCACCGCTGCACCTATGAAAGCAATACAGTATGGTAGATCAACTATATGCCAATATAAAATTATAAATTGATTAATTAGTGATAATGGCAACTCTGGGGGTCCTGACATAAGTCTCAGTGCAGGTGGACCCAGCTTGCTGGTGGGCTTGTGATAGATTCTCATTTCTCTTTTCTACAAACACCTCAGGCGCTGAACACAAGCTCATTCAAATTTCCCAAAAGTTAGGCTCTGGGCTGTAAAAATCCTTCTTGAGAAAATAAAGTTGTCTTAAACTGCCATGTGAACTATTTTTTGTTGGCAGTGTTTAAATCCACTTTTCTCCAATCCCCAAACTGGAAAAACAATTTTCGTTTGGAAACGCCTGGGCTGACATGGTTGTCGAGACTGATCTTTCCCGGGGTTTGTGGTTTCGCCCAGGGGAGTGCTTCCATGTGTGTGTGGAGCGCTGACTGGTTTTGCTCATTTCCAGCCAAAATGTATGCGCTTCCTGCTCCAACTCAGTGTAAGGCGCTGGGAGATGGACGGTCCACCCCAGAGGGCCTGGGTGGCGGTCATCCCTACAGCAGCTCCGTGGGAAAATGGGAGCTTCTGGGTCAGGTCAGGGAGCATGGACCTGCTTCTTGGGGACGTGCCAGGTCCCTGGCCCCTCAGACGCTGGGGAGCTCATGGGCCCTCTGCCCCAGGTGAAATGTCCTCCATGGATCCGGCCAAGCAGGGGCTGGGGGCTGTGACCGGAGCCATGGGGCCCAGCAGGGCGGCTCCTTCAGATGAAGTGGGAGCTGGAGATGCACACCCCGCACTCGGCTCCCACACGGAGGGGACAGGGCCAGCCAGGATGCCAAACTCGGCCAGGACCACCGCCCCCTGATGGGGCCAGCCAGGATGCCAGACTCGGCCGGGACCGCCGCCCCCTGACGGAGCCAGCCGGGGTGCCAGACTCAGCTGGGGCCACCGCCCCCTGCCCCCACATGGCCAGCTGCCTCCCTCTTTGGTTTCCTCCACGCCTGCAAATCACCTATTCTCTGAGATGCATTCATGACCCTGAATCGAGACTCAGAGCATCCTGAGATCACCAATGGGCACCGCAGAGCAGGGGCCGTGCCCAGCTGAGGTCCCAGCATAGCCTCTGCTCCAGCTGGCCTGGGCACTGGGGCTCCCTCACCCCCGCTGGGTGCTGTCGTAGTTCTGTGCTCGGGGTGATGTCTCTATTTAAAGTGATGTGACCACAGCGCCGCAGGGCGGCCTGGGGGCCCGCAGTCCAGGAGGCAGTGACGCGCCTCAGGAGCGAGCACACATCAGCTGGGCGTCCCGCGGGTGCCGGGCTGCTGGCCGAGAGGGCACGGCCCCTCAGCCATCTGTGTTAATATGGCATCCTTACACAGACGCACAGGGCGAGGCTGTGTTCCTCTGCTGAGCAGAGTGACCCTAGGCCGGCCCCGGGTCAGCTGGAGCAGGACCACCGACCTCTGTTTCATCAGCTCCCGGAGCCGTGTCCGGGTTTCTGCAGCACCTGGCCTGAAGGTAGGAGCAGGTCCATCTGCCCGGAGGGTCTGGGAACGCCTGGCCAGCCCCGCGGAGGCCAGCCTGCCCTCAGCAGCTCTGAGGGTCCGTCCTGTGTCCTCACGGCCCCCAGCCCCACAGGCTGTTCCCAGGGCGTGTCCAGGGCTGGTCACGCCACCCTGACACTCATTCTCAGTTGCGTCTGCAGGGCCAAGGAGAACAAGGAAACCATGACGCGAGCCCTTCAGGCTCAAGGAATCGCACCCCTGGGAGCAGTCAGCCGTCCACCCACTGGGGTGCACGCCCAGCCCTGCTGACCTCCTGCTGGGTCAGAGTGCTTTGCAAGCTATTCCCTGAGCAGCCGGCCTTCCTGACAGCAGTGACCACCTCGGGGCCCGCCCCTTGTCCTTGTTTTGAAGGCTCCCACAGTGACTCAAACACCCTCTGTCTGGGTGAGGCAAGAAGCAGAAACAAAACAACAAAGCGCATCCAGTGGGGCCCTGCCAGCCCCCCGCCCACGGACCCTGAGACTCTGCCCCTCACTCCATGATCCACCCTCTACCACCAGGAAAGTGAAGCTGAGTGTTTCCAGACAGAAGCCACTTGCCAAGTCAGGGCTGCGCTTGCTTGGCTGGACGAGAATCGGGGAGACAACGAGCCGAGCCCGTGCAGCACCTACACCAGGTCGGAGGCTCACCTGCAGACGGGTGCCACCCGCTCCCTGACCCCCACCCCGTCCTGTGCCGGGCACTCAGCCACGGGCAGAAAGCAGGCTGCACACTTCCAGACAAGTCTGATGATTCAGTGCAGGCGACTCTACCATCCCGTTCAGACCGTGACGCTAACCGGGGCCCCCAGACTGAGCCACGTTGTTACCCAGACAGCTAGTGTTAACACAAAGGACGCCATCGGGATGGTCCAGGCTTACCAGTCCAGCAATACAAGCAAAAAACTATCATTTGTGAACTTTTGACATTTTGAACCATGAAATTGTTCAATTAGATAATTTGGTGCAGTTACATGTTGCAAAAGTAGTATCTTCGAAATGGCATAAAGAAGGCAGAAAAGCAATCTCAAGTTTACTGTAACAATTAGATTAAAAAATTCTCAAACAACAAGCCGTTTCTGAGTACCAACTCTATTTATGCAAAAAAAAGAACGGAGGCAGACAACCTACAAATCACCGTCCAGGCCGTGAACACGCAGGGCACTCAGTGCCATAGAAGATGGGAAGGAAACAAACAGAACTGTCCGTATTAAAAAAAAAAGAAAACAAAAAAGATTGGATGTGTAGAAAATCTAAATTATTTTTTAAAAGTTATTAGGATTAATAACTGCACTTATACAGATTGTTGGATACAAGGTCAAAATCCAAAATTCACTTGCATTTTTATGCACGAAACACACAGCTGGAAAGTGAGCTAAAAACAAATGGTGTTTACAGCAGCAGGAAGCAACAGTTTGTTGTTTAGCCACTAAGTCATGTCTGACTCTTTTTGACCCCATGGACTGTAGCCCGCCAGGCTCCTCTGTCGATGGGATTCTCCAGGCAGGAACACTGGAGTGGGTTCCCATTTCCTTCTCCAGGGAATCTTCCTA